GGGTCGGGGCATGTGAATACCTTCGGGTGGTTTTGCGATACTTACTTGCATGCGCAATCGCCGCGAGATGTTGTACAATCGGGGCTGATACGAGGGATAAAGAGGTCCGCGGGAGGAGAGGGGGAGGGGAGGGGGAGGATGAGACTGAACGGCGGATGTTACGCGGGTGGATCTGGTTGATTGGGCGGCTGGGATTTGCTTGCGGGGGGGCTGTGGGGAGACGCGAATATTGTTGATGGGAGTGGATGGAATTATGTAATGCTCGTGTGAGGATCATGATTGGGGAATTGTTGGGGTTTTTGTGGGTTCGTGAGGGACTGGGGGTGCATTCTTGGATTAATTGGCGCGGGGTAAGATGAGTCGGGCTGGGATTTTTAAGGGCACGGGGAGAAATTTTTGATTAAAATCATTCTACCGGTCTACAAAAGTGTTTCATGCGTCGTCGTTTCCTCATTTCGATCCTGAAATTTAGTAAAAATTGATATATGGTGATCGAATTTTACGTTTTACGTTAGAGAAATTTTATCCTGATAAAAATAAAAATTATCGTGCCGGTAGAGTAAAAATTAGTGGACTGGAAGGGTACAATTTATTATGCGTCAAGATAAATTTCTCTAACGTATATTTTTTTTAAACACTTGATTAATAAATTGCAATTGTTTTTATTTTATGAAGAATAAAATTCCCAATCAAAAATCATAAATTTGGTAATTAAGAATACATATTAAAATGCAAAAAACAGCACAAAATTATGAAAATTCAGCCAATTTTTTGTCTGACCATTGAATCCTCATGAATTCATATTAAAATGTGAATGACAATTTTAAATTTTGAAAATTCAGCAATTTTTTTTCCAAATATTCATGTTAAATTAAAAATAGATTGTATATATTTCCTCGAATGCTATTGAAATTTCAATTTTCTCCTCACACTCTCTTGCAAAAGTAGTTCTGTTCTTTAAACTGAACAATTTGTCAAAACGCTTATTGATGATCAAATCCTTGAAACTACTGCAGTGAACCAGTCTTTATTTCATCAAGAATAAAGTTCCCAATAAAAAAAAAATTAATTCAATGTTCATGAACATCAATTCGAAATTGAGGTAATTTTGATTCTGAAAATTCACATTAAATTAAAAATCCAAGTAAATTCTGAAAATTCCCTCGAATGTAATCTAAAAGTTGAAATGACATGATCATTATTTCCTCAAATTGAATTCTTCAAAATTCTCCATAAAATTTAACATGTTTAATGAAGAATAAAATTCCCAATAAAAAACCATAAATTCAATGTCGATGAATTAATCATTAAATACGAATAACAATTCGAGAATGGGGTAATTTTTATTCTGACCATTCGCATTAAATTAAAAATATAATTCATGCTAATTTTTCCCCCAAATCGAATTCTTCACATCATCCATGAGCAAAATTCCCAATAAACAAATCATAAACTCAACGTTGATGAATTCCCTTTTAGATGCAAATAACAACCCCCCACCAAACAATGAATAAACTGTTTCATAATCCCTCATCACAAACCCGAAAAAGCGGCGGGCAAAAAATCAAATTATCCCACTAGTTGAACCCGAATGAAACCAAAAGAACTATTAAGTTAGCACTTGCGTGAATTTGGTGGGTTAGCGTGAGATTAACACTCACAGCGGTATTCAATCTCCCTCCCTCCCCATCGGCCGTTGAGCATTGAAGAAGGGTCTGCCCCACAAGCCGTATATCGATACATAAGCGACAATTCCCCCTTCATCATCCCCATTTGCTCGACCGAGGGTGGGCTCAAGCGAAACAAAACATATTGTCCAAATTTAATTGTGAAAGGGGGAGCATTAGATATTCATACGTAACCCATAGTGATGGGTGCTCCGATGGTCCATAACAATAAACGAGATTCATCCATTCGTTATGGGGGCATAATCTCCACAGACACTCCATCATCCCTCAGAATTGTCTTTCTGAAATGATTATGGTAAACAATTTTTTTAAAAACTCCACTCGTCTGAGAAAATTACATTTCCTCAGGACCACAAGGATCGGAATAAATGAATGCGAATTCAAGTACATACCCAAACAGTATTTTAATCTGACTCCGTGATTTTGGTGGTGAAGGGGTGGGCAAAAAAAGCATCATCAGTGTCAGCGGAACCGCCAGCGAATTAAGTAAACAGCATCAGATAATTATTCGGGGTTTTTCTGCCAATGCGAATTTGTTTGTCCGACCACTTCGCCGGGATTTAGCAATTACTTTTTATTCAACTGTGGTAATGATATTTGATCTTCATCACTGTGCCTCGGTCCAAGGAGTGTGGTTGGAGATGCTTGATGATACTTTAATGATTTAAATTAATTTGAAAGACATTTTTTTTTATGGAATTTGGTCTACTAAATCCGTATGATTGTTAGTATTTTTTTATGGATTGTTGAAATTTTTTCAGTGGAATTCCCGGTATGTTTTGAAAATTGCTGACAAAATTTCCACTAAAACTTCAAGGAATTTTTTCTTGAGAATTTATAATTTCTTGGAAATTCGTGGGAATGTAAATTTCAGTTTAATTATACCGGGGAAAAATCAGAGAAATTTCTTCTTGAGTTGAATTTTCAAGGAATTCTTTTAAAAATTTCGGGAATTTTAAAGGAATTCCCTGAAAATTCAAGGGAATTTGATAGTGAATATTCATTTTCACTTGAAAATTTATATAAATTGCGGAAGTCCGTCTTCTTGCCATTAAAAAATGGGACTTTATAGTTGAATTTTTAACGAAAGTTCCAATTTTATTGACTTTTTCTTCTTAAATCAATTTTAAGGTCTTCTTCCAGAAAATTCAGGTAATTTTTTTAACTGTACGCACTACTGAAAAATTTTTGTTGAAATTTCGGGTTCTTAAAAATTTTTAAGGCTACTTTTTAAATTCTCCTAGAATTTCAGAGAATATCTTCGAAGAAGCAGTAAATTTCACTGCAATTATTTCACGAAAATTAATAGAAATGAGGAAAATTCCGGTAAACAAATTCTTGAAATTTCAACAAAATATGAAATTTCGTAATTTTCATATTTTGTTGAAATTTCGTAACATTTAAATATACCTCCACTTTCACACCATCATTCCCCTTCTCCCAACCAAAAATACCCAAATCAAAATGACGGCAATACATAATGGAAAAATTCAATTCAATAAATATTATCGAACAACCAACAAAATAATTGTCCGTGTTTCTCTCCCAATCAGAACTCCCTTGTCCGCCACTTCCTCAGGATCTCCCAATTACTTTTCATTCACGACTGGTAATGATATCCAATCTCCCTCAGTTCAAAGAAATATGATTGAAGACACCCGATGACGCCATTTACCCTTTGACGATTCGAATAAATTCAAAAGCCCCCCTCCCCCAGCGCAATTACTCCACTGGAATGCAGTTGATTCTCATTATTTCCCAATGCTAAGAATTCCATTATGCGGAGAGTATCACAAACATCAAAAAGTTCCACTGCATTTGCAATATGCGAACTGTATTTATAACGCCTGACGCTTTTAATTAAAAAACTCATTGAGCTGTTACCAGTAGTAACATATATACAGTCTCTAGACTTTATAACCTTTTATGAATACCAGCGGGTGAGCGCGAAAATCTTTCGTGTTAGTTGAGCGGCTCATTCTTCACTCCCTCATCCCTCCTCGCGCCTCTCTCATCTCATCGCACAGGAGAGCTTTACGCCCGCCCTTTTGCGCTTGATTCAACCAACTAATTGGCATTTATACTGGGCACGGGTATATATAATTTTCCATCGGGCGCCCAAAAACTTCCGCGTCGCTCACTATCAATGATAAAATAAAGGGGCTCTGCTCCCCCACTGTTTCTGTCGTTTACATGCTAACTTGAGAAAAGGAGGATTTTTAAATGTACGAGGGGAATTCACTCGGCTGGCGTGAGCCGGGTTAGGCGATAAGTTGGCGTTATTTTTATTTTCGTATCGATGCGTTCGTTTTAGCCTCATTATTCGCCGGTCATCCAAGCACTGTTGAAATTCAACGCCATTATAATTTGTTGGGGATTCAGTGTGATCCAGTGGTTTTTGTCTTTCTAGAATTTTTGTAATGAATTATTAATTAATTGGGAGTTTCGTAACAATTTCAATTATTGCGATTTTAAATAGGATTTAAGATGACTTTTTTGGTTCAATTTATGACTCGTATTGAAGTCTATTTTGTTGAAGGAAAATTTAAACATAATTGGGAAAAGGGGGATTTTTTAATGTAAGGATTTGAGGATAAGTTGGCGTTATTTTTATTTTCGTATCGATGCGTTCGTTTTAGTCTCATTATTCGCCGGTCATCCAAGCACTGTTGAAATTCAACGCCATTATAAGGTGTTGGGGATTCAGTGTGATCCAGTGGTTTTTGTATTTACAGAATTTTTGTGATGAATTATTAATTAATTGGGAGTATCGTAATGATTTCAATTATTGCGTTTTAAAGAGGATTCGAGATGATTTTTTTCGATCAATTTATGACTTGTATTGAAGTCTATATTGTTGAAGGAAAATTTAAACATAACTGGGGAAAAGGAGGATTATAAATGGTGGATTTTTGATGCGTGCATTTTATACTCATTATTCGCCGGTCATTCAAGCTCTATTGAAATTCAACGCCATTATAATTTGTTGAGAACTCGTTGCGATCCGGTGGTTTCAACATGTCTAGAAGTTTTGATAATTAATTATTAATTAATTAGGAATTTTATCAAAGTTTCAATGATTGTGATTTTAAATAGGAATTTGAGATGATTTTTTTTATTCAATTTATGGCTTGTATTGAAGTCTATTTTGTTGAAGGAAAATTGGAATCCCATTTTAATTTTTTAATTTTACTGAATTTTTATCCAGTTCCCAATATGAGAAGATATTTATCTGGAATTTGCTGATTTTAACTATTTTTCAATACTTGAATTTAAATTTGAAAATTCCATAAATTTTCTCATCGAATTCTGAATTTTCAGTGGCAAAAATTCTGTGAAATTTCAATAAAAGTGTCGCTTGATTGAAATTTCCAAAAGGTATAATTCACAATTGAGTTCTCATATTTCTAATTAGAATTTTTAAACAGAAAAATTCAAATTTCAGAGAAAATTCGGTATTTCCCTCTATAAAATCCATTAAAGTTTCACTTTAATCTTTTTTTCTTGAAAATTTCAGGAGATTTTTCTCGAAAATGAACTGAAATATTCTATCACTCAAAAATCTTCCTGAATTCCTCCGAAAAAAGACTCTTGATAGAAAATATAATTATCTATCAACAGAATCGTGAAAATCCCGAGAATGAGATCTTCATTTCCTTCGTGAGATGGTTCACCTGATGTTTTTCTTCCCACGACGAGAAAAAAAAATCCCACAAATGAATACGAAAATGACCACCAGCTTTCGCACCTAAAAGAACCGTTGTACAGGGATGACTATTAATTTTACCTTGAATTTACCAGGATGATACGATGGATTGTAGATATGCATTAGCGAAACATATATCGCACACATCACATTCACATTCCATTTCAGTTCTGCGGTGCACAATTGCCTATAAGATTGATAGAGTGCGGATACCCGAGTGCGATAATGGACACGAATCCGCTACAGATATACAAATTTCACCGCTGCATCCCGCACTAATGGAATTATTGATTCCCGGAATTAGGTGGAATCTCCTTCGCACTTTTGTTGATTCAATCGGCTAGCCTGATGTTCGATAAGAACTCAACCGAGGTATATATTTCTTTTCAATTAAGCCCCGAACAGAGTCAGTGGAGGCCCTTGAATTGCCCCGAGATTGTCTCAGTATCTTTATTATCATTCGAAGCAATCTTTTTCTATATTGTCGAAGTAGTAGCGCTGATAATGTCAATCACTCAGTGATTGACTCGGCTAACTCGACCCCTTGCGCAACAAAAGCACTCACCCCTCGTCTTTGTGGGAATATATACACCAAACAATTGAGCACACAGGGACAAGGGGGAACGCTCATTGTATCCCTCCAAATAAGGAAATATCCTGTGGAACTTCTCCCATTTCATTTATTATTCCATCGAAATTCTGTTTTCTTATTTGAAATTTGAATAGAAATGCTAACATTTCTAGTTCTGCATTCATGAGATGTAATGACATTCATTACACATTTGATGGCATTAAAAAATGAAATGATTCGTGACATTTACTTTCATAATTGATTTTTCGAACTTTTCGTATTTATTTTTTCTATTCGAAAATCGAACATTTCCTGTGTATCAGTCAATTTTATGGCATTCAAATCTATTTTACCGACTGCCGGAGGGATTTTGTTTACGAACCGCCGGGCTATATCCAACGATTGACTGCGGGCCTGCGACTGAAATCTACCTGGCCTCACTCTGAATACGTTGGAATTTTTATTACTCACAGTTTTTTCGGAAATACCTCTTTTCCAATTGCAGGTTCAACGTGTCTGGTGCCTCCGGGTGTTTCATTAGCATCAGAATCGTCAGTAGATACATAATCAACGTTCACTCGGCGAAAAAATTCCATTTTGCCGAAAGTCGACTTTTCCCCTGGAAAAATCCAAGATCTGACACTTTGGCCCCGGGTGAATTTTTTTTTTATTTCTGCATTTTGGGCGCCTCCGGGTGTTTCATTGGCATCAGAATACTCATGTAATCAGATAGACGAGGACATTGAATTTGCAGTGAATATCCCCCGATTGCTGCAGTTGAACACTGATAGAATGATTCATTTATTCCAAACGAGATTCGTTAACTATTAACGAATGGTAGAGTTGAATCTGACCAAATGAATATTCGTTAATAGTTAACGAATGGTTCACTTGAATGGCGAAAGTCAAGTCAAACAAGGCTCCTCAAATATACATTCGTTAACTATTAACGAATGAACATTTGGTGAGACCGAATAGACCCTACCCTCCAACCAAAATCCATTCGTTAATAATAACTAATCCGTTCTATCAGTGAAAAAAGAATACGATATCCAAAAAAAAATTCTCACATCAACTATCAGAATTATTAGCATTAGTAGTACTGCAAAGTTCAGGATTTCCTGCACTCCGCGATTTTAAATATTAATCCATCATTTCCAAATGCCCACTGTGCACGATTGCACTCCCGTAATGAGATAGATCCAATTCCCCAGTATGAAACATCACTCCATTCCAGTATTCATTGAAATCCCCGAATATGAAAAACCTTGCGCAGCACTCGAGGAAGAAACTGTGTTTATTCCATTTAATTTTTTTCTTCTTCAAAATCATCGGCTTGGCGCCATTTGCTGTGGATATCCCGCGGTTGCTGGAGGCGAAAAAAGAACACAATAGCCCTAAAAAAACCTTTACAGCGTCAACTATTGGAATTATTCACAATTGTGCGTTGATTGCCTGCATAATTTACGTCGATTCCCAGACGTTCGATAGTGTCAGAAGAGATCCTTCCGCTCAAGTGATTAAACTGCCGAAAATAATCGGGAGATGTCTCACCGCGATCGGATTTCTGTTGAGCATCTTCATATGGGCCTTGTACATCCTGCGAGTGAGAAGAATAGTCGCCCTGGCGAATGAATTGCTCGAAATAGACGGAATTATGTTCAGGGCTAACAGTCTTCACCTGAAATTTCCGAAGGCTATAGTACTCGTGTCAGCGGTGCATTTCACGATGTCTGGTTACTTGATCGCAGCCGAAGTTTCAACGCAGCAAACGTCAATCCACGTATTGATAGTGTTCGTTCTTCCTTCGATCATCGTCAGTTGGACTCTCGTGCAATACTCGCTGGTGCTGCACATGATCGAAGAGAGGATTGCAAATGTGAACAGATCACTGCTAGAAATTGGAAATATTCCGATGGAGCTTGCGATGCCTTCGCTGTTCGTCAGGAAGATTCCGGTGACGAAAGACGCGACCGCCAAAATCGTCAGCATTCGGAGAGTGGACGTGGACTTGTGCGATCTTTGCTATAAGATTCGGGATTTTTATGCACCGCCAACTCTTATGACAGTCACATTCTTCGGGGCCTCGCTAGTTTACTCTGGCTACTTCCTGGTGATGCCGTTTATCACAAGATCCGATCCGCATTTTCATCTCACGTACATCAACGGCATCGCCTGGTTGAGTCTCCAACTGTCTTGTCTCTTCAATTTGACGATTAGTGTCACTAAAATTACACGGACGATCAGAAAAACTGTTAACTTTGTACATCTACTTTTGGACTGCTGTGTATTGCCTTCGGATGCATCGGCAGAGGTACAATTTTGTTTTTTTCTATCTTAGAATCATCGTTTAAAGTACTTGGTTCACAGTTGAAAGGCTTCTCCCGTCAAATTCTTATGAAGAAATTCCAATTGAGTGTGTACGACATGTTCCCACTGGATAACTCATTACTAAGTTCAGTGAGTGTTCGTCTAGATGATGAAAGTCAGCTGTTATTTCTCTATAATCAATGTTTCAGATCGCAGGATTCATTATTACGAACCTAATCATCCTGATACAATTCTCAACTTAGCGAACGTTTATTTTGAATTCGTCGTCATAGAGACTGCTTTCATCGCAGCTAATCAACTAAATGGATGGGCTTAGTCACTTTAATTCGTAATATTTTCCAATGTGAATTGTGAAATTTCCCCTTAGACTGGTTTCTAATAAATTTGATTGATACTCAAAACACAACAGAAGAATGAAGTCATTTTTTACTCCCCCAATTAATCATCATTTATGTACGCAGCGGGAATCAATTTCCATAATGAAGTTTTTCCGCTGCAATTCCCCAAAGCGAAAAATTCATTTGCGCTTTTCATACTGCAGCGAGAACAATATGACCGGAATCAGAAAATATTTCACGAAATCTATGTTAATGTAGTATTTTAAAGATGATCGAAATGTGGAGGTATCTCAGAAAGCCTCAACTCACGGTGTATTGCAATCTGTTTGTCTTCCGACTACTCGGCCTAGCACCGTTTTCCGTCCGAACATCCTGTCTATTAGGAATAAATCTACGAAGTAATGACAAAAAAATCTTCTCTGTTTCGAAATTCGGCTACATCTACAATGCCATTCTCACCGTCAGCATGACCTGGCTGATAATCAATTCAAAGATTTACGTATTTCCCGCCACCATCCGAGTGGAAGAACTACTCCCGAAATTGGTCGGAAAGAGCCTCATGGTTTTTGGATATGCAATGGCAGTGATAATATGGATTGCGTACATACTGCGGCAGTCGAGCATGGTCACGATAGCGAATGGGATCTACGACTCGTTCAGAGTTATGGAAAGCTGCAGAGACATTCACGTGAAGCACGGAAATTGTCTCATGTTCAAGTGGCTGGTGTTCTTGATGAGTAGCGTTTACATCTGTGTTGTTGAACACATCGAGTATAGTTATACATCAATAATTGTCATATACATCAAGTTGTCTGGTTTGGTACTCGGCTGGATGATGCTCCAATACTCCTTCATTTTGGATGTCTTCAGAGACAGATTTGCAGACTTGAACGAAGGATTGTTGCGAATTGGGAGAGTATCTGAGGAGTTCGAAGTGCCGTCATTTTTTCACAGGAAAATATTGATCAACAGCACGGTTCTTGCGGACATTGCTACTCTTCGACGAGTGCACGGAGAATTATGTCATCTTTGTTACCAAGTTGGAGACAACTACGCACTACTAGTTCTGCTTGTCATCATCGTGTTCAGTGCCGGGAGTGTTTACAATATATATTTTCTTCTGATACCCGCAATCTCAAATTATCCACCTCTGTTACCCCTCATCACTGGCATCGGATGGATAGTCATCCAGTTATCAGCCGTAATTTATCTGACTACAAGTGCAACTCGAGTGACTCAAGCTGTCAGACGGACAGCTCATGTGATACATGCACTTTTGGACATGTGTTCACTGCATCCGGACGTCACGAGGGAGGTAATTCTCCTCGCTTAGCCAAATTTTTCGAATCCTGGATTGTTAGATTGTCAATCACTCTCTTTTGTTCCAACTTTCGCAGCTGAAAATATTTTCTAGGGAAATTCTTGCGAAAAAATTCCACCTGAATATCTACGACATATTCATCTTGGACAACTCGTTGTTAAGTTCGGTGAGTACCTCATCGATTACGCCTCTATTTATTATGGGACAATTTATCAACAGCACAATTCATTACGTCATAACGTCTGTCGTTATTCATTACATTCATAACTCAGAAACAAATTTATCAGTTGAGCTCAATTTAGGCTCGTCACAAAGGGAAAGAATTGTTCTTTGTATTGAAAAAAAAGTAAATGAATTTTATCAACACTTCAACCCCTCATTAACATTTTTAAAAAAATCAACTGTCCATTTTACCCCAACCTCCCCTATTTAATTGTCCGAGTGACAAATAATACTGTAATAAATTGTACCTGTGGTGAATATTAATAATCAATTGTGCCGCAATAACACCACACCATAATAAATAGAGGCAACCCCCACCTCATCAGATGGCTTGAGTGCTCACAACTCTTCTTCTCATGATCATGATTCTCTTAAGATTGCAGGAGTGAAGATCACGTATCTCATTATTCTGATACAGTTTCTAATCAATTAAATGGAGTATCCACTTTATACAATGAATACACTCTCGAGAATTCTTGGAAAAAATACACGACAGCAGTGCTGATAGTATCGACTAACGTTCCATTATTTATATTTCTGACATTCGTACTCAGAATATTGCAGGAAATGAACACAGCTTACATTGAAAATATGTTTGTCGTCAAGTTTGTTCTGCTGACATTTCGGCTACTCGGATTGGCACCAATGACGATCTCTAAATCTCAAGCATCAGATCATTGGAATCCCAAGAGGAAAATAACGAAGTTGACCTTTTCTTGGTCGCGCTTGGGTACAGCGTACAATCTCATCCTGATCCTGGGATTTTTGATGGAATGTTATCGGCAGATACCGAAGATTATGACAATCGATGCTGTGGACAAGACAACGTTGTCGCAGATGTATCGAAACAGCATAATTACTTGTGCCAACACCCTCCTCATCATTCTATTACTGACCTTCTGCTTGCGCCAGCGAAAGATCATCAAAATCGGCAATCAAATCGTGGAAATAGACAGTACTTTGGTTGGACTGCGTGGAATTTATCAGCTAAAACCTGGAAAGACCTACATTCTTCTCGTGTTGGGGCTGAATCTCATACTTAATGTCTTACTCATTGCGATGAGGCTGACTGCGCTTCAAGATATGACGGGCTTCATGACTATGGTTGTCTTCAACACTGTAGTATTCAGTTTCTTCATCCTGCAATATGCCCTCGTTGTATTGGTCGCCGAGAGACGATTCGCGGGTTTGAACGAAGCTCTCCTGTCCTTGGAAACTAAGGCTGTTATGATCAACGACAGCAATCGATTCCAACTTGCCGATCAACGATCAACCGTCGTCAGTATTATTGTGATTAAACGTGCGTATGGAAAACTGTATGAACTCTGCTCGGAAATTTCCAGCCTCTACGCGCCCTTCACGATATTCATCGTTATTTACTTCTCCACATCGCTTCTGTTTGCCCTCTATATTATATTCTTTAATATGACTCGAGGCCATCTGGGAGCGCTGCCAACCGTCATTGACTCCATTTGGATATCTGTCAGGAGCTTTCCGTTTATATTATTAACGACCAATGTTAGGAAAACTCACATACAGGTGAGTATCGCTGTACTTCTGGGAAGTGGTCTTATAAATTTCTCAATTCTTGCAGATGCAAATCACCTCGGACATCACTCACAAACTGCACTCGAAATTTGCGGCACATCGGGAGATTAAAACCGAAGTAAATTTAAAAAAACGTTTCCGTTCAGAATAGTTTGTATTCTCATTCGGGATTATTCTATTACTCTTTCAGCTGAAGAACTTCACCGTCGATCTGATGCACAGGAATTTTCAATTCACGGCGTACGGTATATTCCCGATCGACTATTCGCTCTTGAAATCAGTAAGAAGTTACATGTAAGAGAGGATTTTTTCAGGCTCGAGTATTAACAGCGCCATAATCATTCCAGATAGCCAGCACAATCACAACGTATCTTGTCATCTTCGTCCAGTTCCAGCTGGCCTCGAGCAAACACGAGCCAAAGGAGAAAAAATAATTCGAAATAATCATGTCGACTGAATATCATTTCTACAAAATCAAATATCTTCATCCACTTTGCGGAATGAATGCAGACTCAATAAAATATTATACACTCCGAGCGATGCATCAAAAAATAAAGAGCAGTAATAGTTCTCACATCAATTGATATTTCATAATTTCCAGTTGTGACATTCGCGCTCAGAATTCAATATCAAATGAACATAGCTGACACCGGAGACATGTTCGTCATTAAATTCGTTCTGCTGACGTATCGGCTATTAGGAATGGCTCCCGTGACGATCTCTAAAACCCAATCATCAAAATTGAAATTCTCCCAGTCGTGGACGGGTGCAGTCTACAATCTCAGTCTGATCACAGGAGTCTTGACAGAATGCTCTCGGCAGATACCAACTATGCTGGGAGAGAGTTCTAACGACGAGACATCCTTCTCCCAGATGTACCGGAATGTCCTGATTGTCTCCGGCAACACTTTTCTCGTTATTCTGCTCCTCAGATTCTGCCTTTGTCAGCGCAAACTCACCGAAATTGGGAATGAATTAGTCGAAATGGACAGATATCTCGATCAGCTACCGGGGATTTATCACTTGAGAGCTGGAAGGACTTACGTATTTTTTGTCTTAACATTGCATTTGACGATTATAATCACATACTGTGCTCTTTATCTAGCCGTTCACCCAATTAAACCTGCCTTCTTCACAATGATTGTTTTCCCCTGCACAGTCATGAGCTTCTACACCCTCCAATATTCCCTCGTTGTATTCGTCATCGAGAGACGATTCACGAGCTTGAACGAAGCTCTTGCGTCTGTGGAAACGAAGACTGTTGGGGTCAATGACAGATCAGTCGTCAGCATCTTTGTGATCAAACGGGCGTATGCGAGACTCTATAGGATTTGCTCGGAGATATCCAACTTCTACGCACCACTGACCGTACTCATCGTTGTTAATCTTTCAACGTCACTTCTTTACGAGCTTTATAAAATCTTCTTCGGCCTCACTCGACGCAGTTCGGTCCTACCTTCACCAACGATCAAATTCATTCTTGGGTTTCTGTGGATATCCGTCCGAAAACTCCCTATTGTATTGTTAACGAGCACTGTTAGGAAATGTCACATGCAGGTGAGTGCCAGCGTCTGGCTATGGAGTTCTCCGTCAAGTTTCTCCGTTATTTCAGATGCAGATGACTTCTGACGTCGTTCATAAATTGCAGGATAAGTTGGGTGCATGTCGAGATGTTAAATCCGAAGTAAATTTTGGAATCATTCTACTTTCAGAGGGTTATTCGCATTTTTATTCGAATATTTTTTTGTTTCAGTTGAAGAATTTTATTACTGATCTTATGCATAGGAGCTTTCAATTCACGGCTTATGGGATGTTTCGCATCGATTGCTCACTCCTGAAATCGGTGAGGAATCGTATGTCCATAGAGAATAAAAAATTGTGAAATTCAGATGTCTATTTGTAAAAGTTAGAACAGTTCAGGACGCATGAAAAAATTTCATAGAAAAATTGAGCGAATTCGCTAGACAATTCTAGTGGATTTCTATTGAACTTTCTATTAATTTTTGGCCAATGCCTTTGAAATGTTTAGTACAAAATATTTTATAGAATATGTCAATAGAATTATATTTTTCTGTTCAACTTATATTATTCAGATATTTTCTATGGAATTTCCTCGTCTCAAATTTTCCAAGTTCTTTGTTTAATTGTTTGAATGAAAAAAAATAGAATGAAAACGATTTGGAAAATTTGAGTGGACGAAATTTTATAGAAAATACCTCAACAGAATAAGTTATATAGAAAAATAGGATTCTCTGACCTCCTCTATAGAAAATTTTAATACAATCTACCAAAAACTAATAGAAAGTTCAACAGAAATTGAACAGTTCAGCGATTAGATCCAACCGAATTCGCTAGGTTTTTCCATTAAATTTTGTCGTGCATGATTTTTCAAGTGTCAAAAAAAGTATTCTAACGTTTAAAAACATTATTCTCAATTTCAGACTCCCTCTCCCCCATGCGATAACAATTCATTTGCCTTCAATAGTCATAACATCACGCTTATTCTAGATCGTCAGTACCATGACAACATACTTCGTCCTCTTCATTCAATTTCAATTGGCATCGGACAAAGGGGCGTCAGAATAATTCGAAATAACGATGTTGACTCGTACCACCTCCTTACCCACGCAAACTCAGCCACTTTGGAAAATTGACAGATAATCCATCACATCGGATATCACGAAGCCCTCTCCAGCGATCAATACAATCGTAAATACGATAGCACGACTTAATGTATCGCTCTTTCATCCGCACCAGTCTGAAATAAATCCCACTCCAAAGTACCTCATTTACGAAGTCTGTCACCCCAGAATCAGTCATGAATGTAAAAATATCAAAAATATCGGTGTCCAGTCTGTGCGTCATCAGGTTGAACTTCCTGGTCTCTCGGCTCCTAGGACTAGCTCCATTCGAGTTCGTGCGATCAGAGACGTCACTCGAGGACAAAAAACTCAAGAGAGAGACTCTCACTTTCCGGTATTCCCGCACAGGTGCTGCTTCCAATCTCATTTGGATGCTTGTGGTATCAATTCTGCACTATAATTTCGTGTACACCGCGTGTGTCGAGGAGAGGGACGACGGGTCCCTCACATCCAAGGCCATAGGGATATGTTTAGCGATGAATGGTCTAGTATTGCTGACATTTTTACCGCTGAAATACCTCTTCGAGCAAAGAAAAATCGTCAGCTTCGCCAATCGCCTCATGAAAATAGACAAATCATTGAACGAACTGCGAGACGTTTATCACCTGAACAGCGGAAATGTTCGACTATTACTCATGACAGTGGCTCATTTAATCTGCTGCCTGCTGGTCCTCTTTTCTGAGTCAATTCTGCTGCAGAATTCCGCCGCGTCGATAACTATTTACGTAGGGCAGACCGTCGTACTTACGTTCTACATAACACAGTATGCATTAGTGGTAACGCTAATGGAAAAGCGTTTTGCGAGCCTGAACGACGCTTTACTCCGGATAAGCACGAATAATGTTCGAACGTACACCCTGACCGCGTCACAACGGTCGCTTAATAGATCTGTCACTGTCGAAGTGATGATTATCAAACGTGCGTATGTAATATTGTCCGACATGTGCCGGGAAATTGCTGACTTTTACGCTGCCGCGACGATATTTATTGTCATACATTTCTCCACATCGATTATGTACAGTTCGTATTTGATGATCATAACGCCGATGATCAAGACGTGGGGGATAGGGGTGTTTTTAGATTATGTTAATACTGGTTTTTGGCTGCTGTTTGAGCTTGCACCGTTGACCGTGCTGGTCACCAGTGCTGCACGAGCTTCTAAGGAGGTGAGTTCTCGGTCGGCCTGCATCGTGACTCTCATCACTTGATTCGTAGAGGACAAGAGGTTTTTGTTTTCAGGGACGTGTCGCTGATTTTCAGGAACATGTCACTGATTTTATTTTGGTATTTTGTGAGGGCTTTGTTGATGCGTTGAGACAAAATCACCTCAGGGCCAAATTAAAATGCTGACATTCAATTTCTAGCACTTTTTGGTTTCAGCGATCTATCGCCTTTTTTTTCTTTTTGCATTTATTGTGAGCTCCCAGGATGAATTATTTTTCATTTATGAATATTTTTACCTCTTGCTCCATAATCTTCACTGTTTTTCGATGTAACTTGTGTAATTCCATGCTTATATTTTTATATTTTTTATATTTTTATATTTTTATATAAATTTCTTTTTTCAATTTTTTTCAATATTTTTTATATTTTTTGTGTTTCTCTGTTTCTTGGGGTATAACTTATGTCATGTTTACTTTGCACAACATAATGTATAGTTAAAAAACGTCAAACAATCAATCAAAAACTATCATTAGTGATAGTGGACACGAACTCGGGTGAGGCTGACCATTCGTGATTTTTATCACTGAAATTTGTGGTAAATTCCAAAAAATTAGAGTTGGCTCTTTGAAAATCAGTGAAATCGCTCTAAAAATTAGTGATTCTTTCCGGAAAATTAAAGCGTTTTTTTTTCCCTATTGGACTGATCGAAAGTTCATTGGGTGTTTCAGATGAAACGAACTTCCGAGGTTGTTCACAGGTTATTAGCGACGTGTGCGGCGAGTCGGGAGTTTAGACGAGAAGTATAGTGATGCAATATGATTTTAAATTGCTATGGAGATGTAGAAATTGATCATATTTTTTTAGCTGAAGAACTTCTCGCTCGATTTGCTACATAGGAACTTCAAGTTCACGGCTTATGATATGTTTTCGCTTGATGCGAGTCTTATGAATTCTGTAAGTTCTGTTTTTAATTCATTTAAAATTCAAGAATCTCATTTTCAGTGATTTTTTCATATAGTTTTGAATTTTTAATGATGAAACTCTTTGCAATTTCAATGAAACCATAATATGATAAAAATTTCCAAAAAGTCTAGCGGAATGTTCAGCCAAAAATTCTGAACATTGGATATTCAATTGAAAAATGTTCATAAATAAGGATTTTTTGAATATATAATTCATTCTAGGACGTTTTTTTTATACATGTGATGATAATTCATGTTGTGGTGTTACGCCATGGGTCATAGATATTCAGCGCCATTGCGACGTATCTCGTTATCTTCCTCCAGTTCCAAATAAAGAATTCAGTATACATGAGGGACGAGATGACTACCACGGCTATCTCGCACCTCGATTCAGATGTGACTTCGCTACCATAATTCCCAACAACTTTGGAAATGGAGAGAGTCGATTGCTGCGTGCTCCTCACAATTAACCATGTTCACAGGTTGACACGAACTATACTATCAACTACGTAATGTATAAGATCGACTTTCGACATATAATTACTGAGAATTCCGCACGAGTTTTGCCTGAACTAATGTTGTGTCGAGTCCTTCAATGCACGGAGAGAAATGTTCAGTAAAAATTACGGAACGCTCTGGAAAAATTCCGTGACAATTCCGTAAAATTTCCTACAACCACATTTCACTCCGGAATTACGGAAAAAATACGTAATTTTTACTGAATATTTCTCTTCGTGTGAAAAGAGAAGAAAAATAGCGTGGAAACAACTCAGAAAATTGCTGACAAATTTCTATAGAAAATGTGTCAATAGAAAAAGTTTTACGTAAATATGAACTTCAACTGAATTTTTCTATAAAATATTCTCCATTTAAAAATGTGCAAAATTTCAGAACAGAATCGGCCAAAAAATAATAGTATTTTCACTAGAAATAGGAATCCAATAGACTTTTCCATCGAGTTCATTATATATCTCATAATTTTTTTTGCGTCTACCATTTCACAGAACCCCATTTCCCGTCAATGTAAATTCCCATATCTCAAATGTTTACAAATCCCTACTATACCAAGAAGAGAATTATTCACATTGCTGCATCCATAAAGTACCCGAAATGCCTGAAACTCAACCGCAATCACTGGGGACGGAGCCACCGATAGTCGACACCTACCTCGTGAAGCACAGCAACAGCATCCGTTTCCTCATCATAATCTACAAATTCCTGGGCCTGGCGCCGATCTCCATCACAAACCTCACGTCGCCGCATAGAAAACGACGACTCCACTTCCACAACCTGATGTTCAAAAAATGTCTCCTCGGTTTAATTTACATGTACACTCTGATAATCATCGTGTCCGGAGCTGCTGTCGTCACAGTCCCGCTGCTAAACAAAGGACCTCAGAGTGACGCCGACCTACTGAATTCAGCCACAACGATCAAAGGAGTCTTCGGCATAACCGTCATGTTCGTAATTTGGCTGATAGTCGCCGCTCAATTCCAGATGGCCCTCAAGATTTTGAACAGAATAGTGGAGATGGACAAGGAAATGCTGGTCCTGCAGGATGTCCGTGCGGACGCATCCAAGAGACAGATCGTGATACTATTCATGGGAAATTGCACCGTCTGGATATCAATTTTCGTCCTGGAGATATCTGTCGTCGACGATTGGTACAAAGTGTGGACGCCGCTGCTCCTCCCCAGCATGATAATGAACTGGTACATAATGCAGTACATATTCATGCTGGTGATGATAGAGAGCCGAGTTGGCAGCGTCAACCGGGGGTTCCTAATGATCGCGAAGCGAAGACTCGCGACCTTCGCCTACTCAACCGCGCGACCCGCGGCCATGTCCGAGCGCAAAATGGTGAACCACTTCATGATCCTCCGACGAGGTCACGCCATTTTGGCCGGAATATGTCGGGACCTCTCGGCGTATTACTCCTTTCCCATTCTTCCGACGATTGCATTCCTCTGTTGTGCTACGATCTACGACTCGTATTATCTCATAGTGCCACTTGTGGTGCCCTCGTATTACACGTCGATACTGGAGATCGCGAACATGATATGCTGGCTGGTGATGGAAATGCTGCCAGTTGTCGTGCTTGCAGTGTACGTTACCAGGGTTCTCAATGAGGTGTGTTCAGTCTTCATTCGTAAGTTCATTTGGAATGATGGATGATCGTGTGGTGATGTTGCAGATGGAGAAGACTGGAAGCATTGTTTATAACGTTCTGTCGCAATCTGCGCTGACTTACGTGGCCAAAAATGAGGTGATTATTTCATTTGACCGAGTGGTCTAGGCCGTTGAGTGCGCTTGAATCGATATTTTGTTTTCATGCTTCAGCTGGCGGAGTTCTCCGTTGAATTGCTGCACAGAAAGGTGCGATTCACAGCTTACGGAATATTTTCGCTCGATGGGACGTTGATCAGATCGGTAAATGCTATCTTAATCAATAATATCACTTGCTGATTTATAACGCATCTAATTTTATTTACTTTGGGATTCAGATTTTTGGAATGCTAGCGACGTATCTGATAATCCTCATGCAGTTTCAAATCAATCATCGACCGGACAATGATGCCAAGCAAGCCACCACTTCACCAAACTCATCAACCTGCTGAAAATTCGAGCAAGGTGTTTGTGAGTGATAGGGAAAGTCTTCCGAGACACTTTGTTCAGCCCCAAGTGATGTCCGAACTATTAACTTTTGAACTGACATTCTCCTTAGAATGAATGGTCTCATTCTTTGGCCGGGGTTGTATTCCCAAATAAATTAGCTACAGAAACTGCTGAGTTGACTAAAGCAATTTCAGCGATTCGTTCATCAGTTCTCTGCACACGCGTTCCTCCCGGACAAAGGCCGTGGGAACGACAGACTGTCGTGTGGATATTGATTATTCCCTGATAGAAGATCAGGATTTGTCATTCTGAAAAGTGTTCCGATATAGCTGACGACTGGTGTTATAGTTGAGGCTGTCCTCCCTGAACCTTCGAGATTAGAATTTTCACTTCACAAGTACTTAATGATATCGTCTCCGTTTGATAGCCTTCTCTCATAGAATCCTCACAACGAGGAAGGTTATTATCAATCATCGGGAAGTTGATACCATCACAAATCGATAGTCCTTCATTTTAAAAAGAGTCTCATGAAAAACTAATACCCTTTCCCAGTCAGTAACTTCAATAATGAAGATTATTACCTGAAAATGTCAAGTGATCGTATCACCTCCACCAGCTGTGTGCTCACAACCCTACCTGATCCTTTTTTATTACCCGTACTTCAATCCCTTGGTTCGATTTTGAAGTTGAGTTTGCAGATTGATATCGACTAATATTTACCTTTAAATATTTTATGAGCATAGTTGTTTTTTTGAATTCCCAATGTCAGTCGTTGCGCAGTACTGGCGCCACATGCTCGCTCTTGGAAATGGTGCGGAAAGGATCAGTGAAGATGAAGCAAATGCAGAGGCAGTCAGCTTGGGCAGAGCAGGGAGTGATCGACAAGTATCTGTTCAGTGACAGCTGCACTGTCCGACTAGTCGTCGTCATCTTCAAACTCCTTGGACTGGCGCCGATATCAGTGGAGAGTCCCAGATCGCTCAGAACTAGCACTCAGAATTCGACGCAAGGGTTGATGTTCAAAAGATGTGTCAGCGGGATAGTCTACACCTACATCTTGGTCGTTATTGTCTTCGCTGCCAGCATCATCACAGTTCCGTTGATCAATAGCGAGACACTTCATAGTGATGGAGACCTGTTGGAGACCTTCGAAGCAGTGAAAGGTGCAAACTATTTTACGTTTTCTATTCATTTATTCCGAATGAATCTGATGATATGATTATTATCAAAGACTCTTCAATTCTGTACACAGAAAAATGATTTATTTGAATCAAATGGAGTTTATCTAATTCAGATAAACAATTTATTTAAGTTGAATAAATTTTTTTCGTGGATTAAATAGAAGTTTTATTTGAAATAAATAAATTCTTTTTTTGGTACAATCAAATTATTTTTATTTAAAAAAGTAAACAAGGTTATTCATTTGTAATAACTACTTCTTTGAAATAAGAAAAAAATTTCAAATAAAGATTTCTATTTCATTCAAATCACCCATTTTTCTGCGTGCGGTGAAGGTTTACCATCACAGATTATATTTCGCTCACAGGAGTCTTCGGGTTAATCGTAGTGCTCGTGATATGGCTGATCGTGGCTTTCCGATACAAAAAGGTTCTGAAAATTCTGAACAAAATAGTGGAGATGGACAACGAGATGTTGATGCTGCAAGATCTCTACTATTTGGAGACCTCAAAACGGCGGATTCTCGTAATGTTCGGGGGGAACAGCATCATGTGGGTCGTCATATTCGTCCTCGAGATTCTGTCAGTCCCCGATTGGTGGAAGATATGGACCCCGCTGCTGCTGCCCAGCTTTGTCATGAACTGGTACATCATGCAGTACATACTGATGCTCGTGATGATAGAGAACAGATTTGTGAGTGTGAATCGGGGATTTATCATGATCTCGAACAGCAGAATTGAGACGTTCTTCCACGCAGACGTGAGACCTGCTGACGTGTCCGAGCGAGTTATTGTAAATAATTTCATGACACTGAGGCGAGCTCACGCCGTCTTGTCCGGCATATGCCGGGACATATCGGATTATTACTCCTTTCCCATTCTTCCGACAGTAACTTTCTTCTGTGGGGCTTCTATCTATCATTCCTATTACATCATTGTGCCACTAGTTGCGAAGACCCGTCAGCGGTCGATATTAGAGAGCACGAATATGGTGTGCTGGCTGATGATGCAAGTGCTACCGGTTGTTGTGCTCTCGGTGTGCGTCACTCGGGTTCTTAATCAGGTGGGTTACGTAATATGTAACAGTTTGCAGGTGGATGTGAACCGAATTATTTCGTGGGAAAACCTGGCGAATTCGATGGAAAATGCTGTCGGATTTCCCTTGAACTTCTATAATTTTTGGCTGATTCTATTGAAAAATCCCGCAGATTGAAGGGTAGAAAGAATTTTATAGAAAAAATCAGTAGAATTTCATCTTTTTACACAATTTTTTTTATTCAGACATTTTCTCTACGAATTTCTCGACAGGAATTCTCTAAGAATTTCTTCTTTAAGAATTCTCTTATAGAAAATTTGCTCTCTGATAGAGCAAATAGAAAGTTCGACAGGTTTTTCTATTGAATTTTTTCGCATGTGAAGTGGCGATTAGATTATGAGATGTACGCTTGCAGATGGGGATGACTGGTGGGACTGTCTACAAAGTTATAGCCCGATCTATACTGAATTATGTTGCCAAAGATGAGGTGAGGAATTGTCGTTCCGAATGGATCATTTCTACTAACGTGATTATGATTTCAGCTGAAGAAGTTTTCGTTCGAATTGTTGCATAAAAATGTTCAGTTCACTGCGTACGATATATTCTCACTTGATTGTACTCTGATTCAATCGGTAAATATCACACATATACAAGCACCCAAAAAAAAGTTCATTAAAACAAATTATTCAATTTCGGTTCAAAATTTAAATAATTTTGGGACAATTCTATCTATTTTCATTTCATATATGTAGGGTATAGAAATCTAATAGAATTTTCTAGCGAATTCGCAAGGTTTTCTATGAAATTAGGACGGACCTAATAATCCTTCTCAATAATTATAGATATTCGGAATGTTGGCGACGTATTTAATCATCCTCATGCAATTTCAATTGAGTCATACAAGCCAACGGGATTACAAGTATGCTACCTCCTCACCAGAGACGTCGAGCCAGTGAAGAGCAAACGACCACCGATTACTTCGGTTTATTATTTAAATGCGGATATACGCATTGTGTAATATATCTCAGCTTTGTATACTTCAATGAATATACTTTTAACGATTGTATTCTTCAATAGAACATATTGTAATTGAGTTGCCCTCGACGAAAAAGTCAATATCGAATTTTTTAAATTTGTGATGGAACTTGATCATTCACGAATCTTTATTTCACTTCCCTACGGTATACGAAGCACTTCCATTCTAAATCATACCCCTATCTGTCCTTATCGGTGAAAACAAAAAATGCAAAACGCAATTTGATCCTCGTGACCCTTAGGAAGAACATCTCTAATGTTTCCTGATGGACTCAAAACACATGACCCAAGCTACCTTCATTATCCTATGCACTCAATGCTCCACACGACCCCATAAAACGAATGATATACATATTTTACGACGTCCATCACCGGAATCAGGTGCGTGATACAGGTTCTTGATGGAAAATTGATCGACGCTCCCTTCAGTTCCTCAATTACCTTCATTGCATCGAGAATATTTGATGTCTTCAAAAGTACTGAGTCAGCTTTACGTGATTGCACAGAATGAGTCACAGATTGACGACCACTATGTCCTTTCGGAACATAAAGTCCCGCTTAAAGACTTCGATAGAGAATACAGTCTTCATATCCTGTTACATTTTCTTCAAGCTTCTTGGACTGCTCCCAGAAAGCCTTCGGAACTCCGAATCTCGGTTCGCTCCCCCGAATGTTTGTGTGTCCTCACCGGAAGGGCTAATTTACAACTTTGGATTAATCCTAACATTCCCCGTCCTGAGTTACTACTCCATACGCGCGATGCGCGATTCTGATTATCCGAATAAATCATCAACAACTGAAGCATTTGAGTTCTTCAAAGCAGTGTTTGGATCGATTATTGTAGTGATATTATGGGCCCTGATTACTCAGAAGCAGAGGAAAACGGTGACGCTTGCGAATCAAGTCATGAATATTGATCATCTTCTGATGAAGGACAAGAACATCGCTGCTCCTGAGACCTGTCTCTTACCGTGTGCTTCGATCTGTGCCTTCAACATGTTCTGTTGGGTCACTTTAATCTGGACCGAAATAGTGGGTTTCGATAAAATCCAGCTGATTATCCTCGTCACGGAGGTAGGCCCGAACTTCATCTTCAATTGGTTCTTCATTCTGCACACTTTCGTCATCATGTTGTTGGAGACCAGAGTCCGAGCGGTAAATCAGGGAATGTTGCGCTTGTCCAAGGACCTGCGATCGTCAATCCCTCGGACAACAGCTGGCGAGGATAAAATCAAGAGTCTGATTACCCTCAAATATGCTCACGAATGTCTCCATGAAGTCATCAATGAAGTAGCGACTCTTCTCTCCGTTCCCGTCTTCCTCATCATCGCGGAGCTCGCTCCCTCGATTATTTATGACGCATACTACATGGTGATACCTTTCTTGGTACCTTCTTTTGAGTTTTCGTGGGTGCTGATTGCGAATTCTTTGTGCTACCTGTCTTCGCAGATGTTTCCAATCGTAACTATGGTGGTCAGCATGGATCGAATCACCAATGAGGTACATGATTTTGGATTATGAACCATTCTGGCTCATTCTGGCTTCTGGAGGATAGGCATTTTATATTTTTAGATGGAGAGAACTGCTCCTATAGTTCATAATTTGTACACAAGGGCTGCTCTAGGGCGGATAGTCAAATCTGAAGTGAGTTTCTGTCCCAAAATTTCAAGATCAATCCACTTATTCCGCAATTCGCTGGCTTTTTAAAAACTTTCCTTTCATTTTATTCATCTTGGCATACATTTATTTATTGTATGAAGTTGTTGAATAATTCCAGTTCAAGCTGTTGTCATTGAAACTCCTGCATTCGAAAATTAGGTTCACGGCGTGTGATGTATTTTCTCTGGATCGCACCCTCATAAGTTCCGTAAGTCATATTCTGAGAGACATTTAGCATGTAAATCAATGTAAAAAGTTATAATTTTGTTTTAGATATTTAGTATGGCGGTGACATACTTGGTGATCATCATTCAGTTTCAAGTTTTATAATATCTGAAGGATCGATTTTTTATGAAATAAATAAGGGAATTGGAAAGAAATCGCAAATCCCATCTGAAATAGCTTTAGCCCAAAAATTGAAATATGAAGTGATTTTAAATAAATAAACTCTTCGTAAATGTGAACAATTAAGGTGAGAATTACTTTTATGACTGCCTGCCTGTTGCCTCGAATGATCCCATAAAAAGCCCAGTAGATTGTTCCATTCAAGTGATTACGCCTGTTCAGATGTCAGACGTGATAAGCTCTCTGGAGGAATTTCCTGTCAGATCATGTTAAAATTTTTCAACAATTCAAAGTATCCCAGGGATTTCCTCAATAATTACAATCCAATACTCATAAAATGTTGCTCTATGCACCTGTCCATAGAAGATGCTCCCCGTAGATAGTCCAGATAATCGAAGCAGTGTGTCAGAATTATTCATGTCAGGGTTGCGCGACGTTATCGCGTTCAACGACCAACAGGTCAGTAAGAACAGACTCTTCACTACAACATGTCCTTCTCCACGCGAGCGTCCCCGGGCACTCTAGCCCTAAAAGCCTCGTACCTATTTTTCAAAGCCATCGGTTTGATTCCGGCTAGACTGCGGCATCTCAGTCCCAAAAAAGGTCGCCCAACATTCGTGTACTCCCGAGGGGGAACCCTCCGCAATTCAGTGCTGATAGTGTCCTTCGCTGTCTTGAGCTGCTTCTCAGTTCACGCGATGAACAAAGCAGACTACCCGAACAAATCGCCGACCACTGAGGCCATTGAAGTATTCAAAGCAGCCTTGGGGTCGATTCTCGTACTGATAGTGTGGACATGGGTTTGCGTTCATCAGAGAGAAGCTATCAAAGTAGCAAACGATTTCTTGGCAATCGACTCTGTCATGAGAAGCTACAGCAATCTCTACAGCCCTAAAACAGTAACCCAACGGTTCGTGTTGGTCTGGGTCTTCAACACCCTCATCTGGATCAACATGTTTTGGTCGGATTACATGGTATTTGATCATGTGCCAGTGATAGCGTTCATCTCGTCTGTCGGACCGAACTTCATCTTCAATTGGTTCCTACTCATGTACACCTTCAGCATCATATACCTGAGGATGAAGGTCCAGGCAGTGAATGACGGGATCCTCCGCTTGTCTGCGGATTCAGTCAGCCGAATATCCGCTTCTCCCGGAAATTTCGATGACAGGTTCTTCATGAAGGCTTTTTTCGCGCTGAAAGGAACTCATATGAGGCTTCACGAAGTCATCAGTGAAATGGACAAGTTCTACTCTTTTCCGATTCTACTGGTCATCGCGGAAATGTGCGCATCGATCGTCTATACGGCGTACTACTTGATGGTGCCAATATTCTTGCCGTCTGTGAAGCAAGCTGAGATCATGATATTCAACTCGGTGTGCTATCTTTCTATGGAGGTCTTTCCAATTACCATTATGACGATTAGCATTGGTCAAATCGTGCAGGAGGTAGGTGATGGGGGATTGATCAAGAGAAGAATGATGAATTATCGTTTCTTTCTTTCTTTCTTTCTTTATCGGAAAAAGACTTTAGGTTGCGAAAATTTTTACCCAAGTCACGCTGAAAATATTATAAATTTCTTCTTTTTCTTCTTGAAAAAAAAAACTTCCTTGTCTACAGCTCGGGCGAACTGCGGATGCGGTTCATAAATGTCTATCTCGGGTTCGTTTAAGTCGCAAAGCGAAGGCTGAGGTACGTCCTTAGAATGAAGATTATACTGAATATTGAGAGATAAGTCTTTTGACTATTGCATTTCAGTTGAGGTTGTTTTCCCTGGAACTACTCCATCAAAATGTTCAATTCACAGCTTGCGGAATCTTCGCGCTAGACGGCACTCTTCTACATTCAGTGAGTCAATCAGGATCAACTGATGGCTTAACAAATCAATGGCCAAAATTAATACATGTACATTTGCCCAGATTTGCGGGATGACTGCCACGTACCTGATAATCCTCATCCAATTTCAGCCAACCGCACGTCCTTCAGAAGAAAATCCAAACCTCCAATAGACAAATCCACTCGCTTCCTGGAAACCGTCAAGTCTGGCGAATGTAGACAATTCTACAAGTGCAAGCTTCGTTTTATGACAGTGACATGATAACTCGTAATTGTAGCTCTGGGAAAACCGCATGTGCAGCTAGGCTTGTGTCCGCCTAATTGATTTTTACTGATTGCGAGGATAATAAGTGGTTGAGTGAAAGTACTGTTGATTATTCCTGCAGGGGAATGCGCTTGCCTCAATTCACTCAAGCTGCTCCGGTAATCATGATGCTTCATCACCACGCGAACGAAAATTAAATGAACTTCAGTTCTGTGGCATCCTCAACAGGGAAATGAGTTCTCCGCCGGCATTATGACACCAGCACTCAGTAAAGTGATCAAAATATTGCCGTACAAGAAATGCTTCAGAAAAGAGACAGTACTGCTTGAAGTGGGCCTCAAATTCTTTCAAATACTGGGATTATTTCCATGTACCGTGGACACATCCGCCTCAATATCTTTCTTGCCTTCGCGTTTATGCGTGGTCTACCACATTGCACTGGTTGTGACTATCAGTTACTGCAACTTCTACGTGGGAATACCAGCTATCGTGCAGGCGAAATCCGAATCCAATGGACTAACCTTTGAAGAAGTCTTGGAGTTGTTTCTTCTCGGAATGGCTACGGCTGTCAGCCTTTTGATCTGGATCGTCTACCCCCTCACTCGCAAGAGATTGATGATTTTTGGGCGAAAGGTGGTCATAGCTGACGCTGTAGCGAGGAAATTGGGAGGAAATTATCGGATGGAATCTAGCAGAAACAAGTTGGTGATATTCGCCATGATTTATGCGATTCTTTTCGGTCTCTTAATTTTCACGGAGTACATCATTTACGATGACCCAATGTCGAGGTTCGTGTGGTTTTGCTTCTATACAGTGCCCTCCTTCACCATTATTTTGCTCCTCATACAATATTCCTTGGCTGTCCATCTGACATCGAGACGAATTAAGGCGTTGAACGACACAATTCTGGGGAGCCTTGAGACGACAGCTGTTCAGGGTCCGCCCGCAGCGCTGCAGAGTCATATTGACGACGTCGTCAGGCGGGTTTTTGACACCTGGAAGAAAGCTCACAACGAGCTGTACGAGGCCAGTCTCGTCATCGCGAAATTCTACTCCTTCCCGATTTTATTCGTGATGGGGTACACGTGCTACACTGTTATTTTCAATAGCTTTCACGCAGTCAAGGAGTTGGTGAGAGGCAATGGTCAGACAGTGGCGATCGCGATTCTGAATGACTGCGTCTGGATCTTGATTCTGTCGATGCCGACTGTCATTCTCATGCTCGAGATTGAGAATCTCCTCGCAGAGGTTTGGCGGATGAATATTCCTCTTACAATGAAAGAAAGAAATTCATATTCTTTATCCCCTGAACTATAGTGTTGGAAAAAAAATGAAATTTCATGGATAGTTGACTACCAATTTTCAGGACAGTGACACTGAATGGGGTTTAGGAGAAAAAAATTAGGAATTTTCAGGTTTCACTGGAAATTCAGTAAAAATACAGAATTTTGAGGGACATAAAGACGAGAATTCCTTAGTTTATTTGAATTTTCAATCTAATATGAATATTCAGTGTTAAATTGCATTGAATTTTCAATGACAAGATTTCCTGAAATTTCAGTGGAATTGCAACACGACAACAATTTCCGGGATTTGGCACGGAAAATTCAGACAAAAATTTTTAATAGTGTATTTACTCGGTCAAACCTTCGATTTTTTTACGCTATAAATTTTTCAATGGAAAGCAGGATGCTATATGCTATCTTTCGACCTTCCGAACCTCTAAATGAGGGAAACAACTGAACAATCATCAGTGCACAAATTAAAAAATTCTAGGGCACACGGACTCGAATCTTATTTGCAAACAAAACCAAAATTTATACCTTAAAAACATCTGCGGTTTGACCGAGTAAATAGCCCAGGGGATAATATAGAATATGCATATTCCTCTGGATATGGTGATGGATCATCACTCGGGATGAATCATTCTTCTAATTTTTTTGTTAAAGGCCAAGGAAAAAGCTGCTGTGTGCCGCAAGCTCGCATTGCGGTTCCAAAAGCATCGACTGTTCCGAACTCAGGTGATGAGATTAAATTTTAGAATTAATAATTTATATGTATTCGTTTCACATCAGCTGTTCAAATCTCTAGGTTAAGATGTATTCTTTCGAATTGCTGCACGAGAATATCAATTTCACAGCGTTTGGATTTTTTTCGCTGAATGGAACAGTTCTGCATTCGGTAAGAGTACTCTACACCGAGAAAAAAAATACTTCTGCCAGGTATATTTACTAACTACAAGACAATTTACGTATTTCTTATGCAGATATTTATATAAAATTAATTGTGGCAAGTAAATATACTTGGCAAAGCAACTTTTTTTCTCAGTGTGCAGATATGAAGACTCAGTAATTGACGAGTGCTCTATTTAGATATTCGCAACAACGGTGACGTATCTCGTCATTATCTTCCAATTTAATAATGTTTACGAGGAGTGAGGAGGCACCGCAACGTGAACGACGTTAAATGGATTGCATTACTGGATTGATATCAGGCTTTAGCGTAGTCCGCCGTATTCATGTGTGTACCAACAAAAATATGCAAAAGTGAAAATCACTGCCTCAAGCGTGTGAATAGGTCTTCAATGGAGCTTGAATTGATCACCAAATTTTTCAAAATAAATGAGTTATTCCCATGTACCGTGAACATCTCAAATTCCATACATTTCTTCCCTTCTCGAATGTGTATTTTTTAGGCCGTGACTATTCGCACCATTGCGTGAATCACTCCCGTACACTCCATACACTCCACGCATGCGTGAAGTTTGTGTGTTTCACGCAGCCGAATTTTCATACTGCTGTGTATTTCACGCAGTTGAAGTTTCATACTACTGTGTGTNTGTGAAACACACAAACTTCACGCATGCGTGGAGTGTATATGGAGTGTACGGGAGTGATTCACGCAATGGTGCGAATAGTCACGGCCTATTTTTTACCACATCGTGCTACACTGTTAAAAATTTTCTCTGAATTTTCCGTCCCAAATTCTGGAAATTTTTATCGTGTTTAAGTTCCACTGAAATTTCTGGAAATCTTGTCATTGAAAAATCAAATATTCCATTGATTTTCTGGTCAAATGATTTGGACATCAATAAAATACTTGATTTTTCAGTTCAATTATTCTGTAAAAATTCGGAAAATCAGGAAAATTCAGGGGAAAATTGACAATTTATGCCATTTTGTTTCTGAATATTCATGTTCCACTGAAAATTCAATCAAGCTGTGGAATTCCCATCTCACTCCCACTGAAAAATCATGAATTCCCGTGAATTCTACTTAAAACTTGAAATTTCATAACCATTTTTCCCTAAATTCGATCCAATGTCACCCTCATGACATTTACTATAATATTTTCCATCGAATTTAAAAAAATTTCTAACAGTGTAATACTGCACCATAAACAATGTAAAAACCAGCTGCAAATCACTGAGAGATTTAAATCTCCAATAGATACATCTTTTTCGAATTTAAAAAACAAAAAATGTTTTCCCAAGTTGACGACAACCATTTCCGTAAACGAATTTGCTAGCAACACGATACCTCGAAAATCACAACTTCGCAACGATTGCATGTGCAAAAATGCTTCAACTAATTGTAAGACCGTGAGTTCGCTTGCTGATTATCTCTCAAATCTTCAAAACCACCCTCAGTTTTCCGCCATTCCTCCCAAACCTCCGTCCTTCAAGGAAGTATGACGAACTCCCGCTTCAGTCGCGTCAAAAAAATCATGCCGCGCGGGAAATGCCCCCGGAGAGGAGCGGCCGCGTTTAAATTAATCACAAACTTCTTCAAAATAACCGGACTATTCCCGTGTGTTGTGAACACATCCCCTCCCATGTATTTCTGTCCCTCAAAATCACGTATTTTTCATAACACTGCGCTGATTGCAATTCTCGGTTACTACAACTTCTACGTGGGAATGCCACTAATAATACAGGACGGAACGAGATCTGGGGCTTTAAAAATGGGAAGGGTTCTGAGATTAATCTTCATTGCAGTGTCTACGACAGTAACTTTGGTGATCTGGATCGTCTACATTTTGTCTGCCAACAAATTGGCGACTTATGGAAATAAAGTACTGAGAGCCGACGCGATAGCACGACAATTCGGCAGCAATTATCAGTTGAAATCCGTCAGGAACAAGTGGGTTTCGTTAATCGTCATTTATATGATACTCTTCAGCTTTGTTATCTCCACCACGTTCTTGTCCTTCAATAATATAATGTCGGAATTCGCGTGGCTGTGCGTATTCAGCGTGCCCTCCGTCCTCATCAGTCTGTTCCTTGTGCAATACTCGTTGATCGTGCAACTTGTGAGGAGACGTGTGAAGGCATTGAACAGTCTGATCCTCCGAAAACTCGACGTGTACGTCCACAGCGAGATCGTCTGGACTTTTGAAATCTGGAAGAAAGCGCAAGACGAGCTGTACTTCGCCTGTCTTATAATTGCTGAATTCTATTCGTTTACGATTCTCCTCGCGATGGGGTTCGTGTACTACACTGTCATTTGCATTAGCTTCTACACAGTCAAAGATGTGTGGAAGAGCGCCGAACGAAGACGGCCAATGATTCATCTTCTCAATGACCCCACGTGGATGTTGATCTTGGTAATGTCAACTGCTCTTCTACTGTTCGAAATTGATGACCTCTTAAATGAGGTATTATTGTCTCTTATATTGATGGATTAGCTTTTGCGAATGTTTCTTATAGGCCTGGTTGCGCCAAGCCCTGTTATCCAAATAAACCCCAGGGTAGAATTTATCCTCGGGGTCAATTCAGTAGGGAATACCCGAGTCGAATAATTGGACCTGACAAGTTCTACTTAGGTGTTGCCGTTCAGAACTGGATTTTTTCCAGTTCGACTTTCAATCGACTTTCCCCCTGGAAAAACGGAAAATCTGAACATTTGAAAATCTGAAAAAAAAACTTTTTCAGTTTACACTTTTTCCAGATACTTTTGAGAGTTCTGAATAGCCCGTCGCTTAAATAGTTAGAATCAACTTCCACCCGGCTAAAAAATTCGATTTTGGCGAAAGTCGACTTTCCTCCTGGAAAAACGGAAAATCTGAAAAAAAAAACTTTTTCAGTTTTCATTTTTTTCACATACTTTTGAGAGTTCTGAATAGCCCGTCGCTTAAATAGTTAGAATCAACTTCCACCCGGCTAAAAAATTCGATTTTGGCGAAAGTCGACTTTCCTCCTGGAAAAACGGAAAATCTGAAAAAAAAAACTTTTTCAGTTTTCATTTTTTTCACATACTTTTGAGAGTTCTGAATAGCCCGTCGCTTAAATAGTTAGAATCAACTTCCACCCGGCTAAAAAATTCGATTTTGGCGAAAGTCGACTTTCCTCCTGGAAAAACGGAAAATCTGAAAAAAAAAACTTTTTCAGTTTTCATTTTTTTCACATACTTTTGAGAGTTCTGAATAGCCCGTCGCTTAAATAGTTAGAATCAACTTCCACCCGGCTAAAAAATTCGATTTTGGCGAAAGTCGACTTTCCTCCTGGAAAAACGGAAAATCTGAAAAAAAAAACTTTTTCAGTTTTCATTTTTTTCACATACTTTTGAGAGTTCTGAATAGCCCGTCGCTTAAATAGTTAGAATCAACTTCCACCCGGCTAAAAAATTCGATTTTGGCGAAAGTCGACTTTCCTCCTGGAAAAACGGAAAATCTGAAAAAAAAAACTTTTTCAGTTTTCATTTTTTTCACATACTTTTGAGAGTTCTGAATAGCCCGTCGCTTAAATAGTTAGAATCAACTTCCACCCGGCTAAAAAATTCGATTTTGGCGAAAGTCGACTTTCCTCCTGGAAAAACGGAAAATCTGAAAAAAAAAACTTTTTCAGTTTTCATTTTTTTCACATACTTTTGAGAGTTCTGAATAGCCCGTCGCTTAAATAGTTAGAATCAACTTCCACCCGGCTAAAAAATTCGATTTTGGCGAAAGTCGACTTTCCCCCTGGAAAAACGGAAAATCTGACCCCTTGAAAATCTGAAAAAAAAAACTTTTTGAGTTTTCACTTTTTTACCTTGGGATTAAATTTCATTTTTCGTTCCTGGGTTAAAATTGAGATTCTCTCCCGCGTAAAATAATTCATTGAACATCCAAATTTACTTTTTTTCTTATCTGACGTTTGCCTTCTCCGGAGCTGGTGCAACCGGGCCTTAATGAGACAATGTAAAAAATGTTGATATTTTTTCAATTCAAGTGGTATGATCCTAACAATTGGTGCAACATTTTTATTTAAAAATTTTTTTTTGCCCGATAAACAATGCGTTGCATATAAAATGTAAATAACAGGCTGACAAAATCTGTTGAACGTGAAGAAATCATATTTTTATAATTTTTTTACTGAAGATCAAGAAAAAAGCTGCTGTCTGCCGCAAACTGTCACTAAGATTTGAAAGACATGGACAGCTACAGACTCAGGTAATCGATGATTCAGCAATTGACACGGAGAAAGTTATTTGGTGAAATTTAACAATTAGTTATTGAAATTGACTAACTAATTGAAATTCACAAAATAATTTTCCCTTGGAAGTGCACCTGTTTAATCCTGTATTCTTCCATTTCCAGATTAAAATGTATTTGCATGAATTGCTGCACGAGAATATAAACTTTACCGCATACGGATTTTTTCCACTGAATAGTAACATTCTGCATTCGGTAAGATATCTGTATAAATATTGAGACCCCGAGATTGTTGGGTGCTTCTTTCAGATGTTTGGAACAACGGTGACCTACCTCATTATTCTTATCCAGTTTCTCATGTTTCACGAGGAGAGAAAACGTAATGCTGGAACGTAAACATTTAATTGCTCCATTGGAAATGAACGATTATATATTATAAGGGAATATTGTAATCTTTATTGTAATCTCTTTTGATTCACCGCAAATATATGTAATCACATCTGTGTGAACATGAAGACTACGTCAATGCTTAACGTTTCTTTATTAATACATCGATTTTTGTTGACACGTGTCAATAGAACGTACTAGTTCGTAGTTAATTTCTATTTACTTGGTAATCATGATATCCAATCTCCACGCAAAGGAGAGTCGTGTTCTTTTCTGACCCAGAGATAGCCACAATCGTAAATTAGAAGTTAAATTTTGAACTAGTTGATCAATATTATTCTACATTTTTTAATTATTACATTAATCACCAATTGAATATTTAAATTCCAAATTATGTTATCAATCAATAATTTAGTTATGAAGATTGACGATCGTTTGGTTAATCAAAATTTTTTTTAATGAAATTTAGTATTATTTATTCAATAGACAATTGACAATTCCATATTATCAATTATTTAATTCAGTAGCGAAGTGGACAAACGGTTCAAGTCAATTTCGTCTTTAGTTGAGTTTTCTAGAAATATCTCCGAACTTAAGGGAGATAACGAAATTTTCATAATAACATTTTTTGTAGAGCGAATTGAGTGCTACTAAAAATGTTATGAGAAAAATTTTGCTACATCCCTCAGATTTCGAGATATTCATTGAAAACTGGCCAATAGCCAAAATCGTCTTCAACCGTTTGACCACTTCGCCAGTGAATTCGTCCTCAATCGTAATTTAGATTATAAATTATCTTATTATTTTTTATTTCGATGATTATTTGTCCAGTCGAGCACTCAAGTTTGTCAAAAACCTGAACTTGCATTCTACGTATTTTGTTTACAAACTTTAGTGCTCGGCTGTAAATCTTAATCAATGTAACGTTCACATTCCCTTAATATTGAAGAATTCAATGATTGATGGCCCTCCCCGTCCTGAACATTCCCCTGAGTGATACCTTCGTTTCCTACTTGTCAAACATTACTTAAAAATTAATCATTTGTGACGAGTTGATCTCGCTGTTGGAGCGAAGCGCAGAGGGAGAATAATGCGGAGAAATGCGATAACCAACGCTGGCTTGAAATATTTAGGGGGAATGTGTGGGCGCAAATGGCCTCGCCACACATTAATAAAATTATCCTTAATAACTCTACTAGTTCTATGCCTCTTCTACTGACTGATGGTGTCGCGATGGCAAGTGTAAATTACTCAAACATCGCCCATAATTCTCGGAGAAATTTCAATCTCCACAGAAAAATGTATTTCGTACCTCGTAAAACCTCCAATTTACCAAAGTTTATGGAAACAATTGCGAAAGGGCAGGCCTTATTTTACAGCAGTGGCATGATAGCCCGCAAAATTACCCCACTGGGAAAACTTCATCTGGAATAATGCCGCGCCTACAACCAGGAGTTCAATTATTGACGATTATCTCTGAAAGTTTCAGAACCAACTTCGGTTTTCCGATTTTCCCTCGAACTAAGTTCAGCTCCGGCGACAGGATGCCCAACCTCAGGCTCATCACTCGCACAAAAAAAATCTTTTCATACAAGAAATGGTTCAGAAGAGAAGTAACAGAACTCGACGTGATCACCAGATTCTTCAAAATAAACGGGTTATTCCCGTGCACCGTCGACACATCAATTTCCGTAAATGTTTTTCCCTCGCGACTATGTGTTTTCTACCACATCGCGCTGATTGGAATCCTCGGCTACTGCAATTTCTACGTGGGAATACCAGCGATAATACAGGACAAAATGGCATCTGGGGGCCTAAAGCTGCCGAGTATTCTGGAGTTGATCTACATCGGGTCGTCCACAGCAATCACTTTTCTCATCTGGATCGTCTACATTACGTTCTGCACCAAATTAACGATTTTCGGAAAAAGAGTGGCCGAAGCCGACGCGATCGCGAGGAAATTTGGCACAAATTACCAGTTGGAATCTGTCAGAAAGCAGTGGATAATGTTGTTCATTACCTACGTGATCCTCTTCAGCTTCCTGACCTTCACCGAAAGCCTGTTCTATAGCGATAACGTAACGTCGAGATTCGTGTGGTTGTGCATGCAGACTGTGCCCTCCATCATCATCATTCTCTTTCTCACGCAGTACTATCTGGTCGTGCAGCTTGCGAAAAGACGTATGAAAGCATTGAACAAAATAATTCTGCGAAATCACGACAAAACGGCTGTTCACAATCGAAATAGCACCAATGACGCGATTACTGAGGCCTTTGAATCCTGGAAAAAAGCACACAACGAGCTGTATGAAGCCTGTGTTGTAATCGCGGAATTCTATTCCTTTCCGATGCTGTTCGTCATGGGGCTCGAGTGTTACGGTGTGATTTGCGGTAGCTTCTACTCCCTCAAATATTTGAGGAGCGGCGTCCATCAAGCTCAGATGCTACTTCATCTTTTGTATAACTTGATTTTCATCTTCAACTTTACAATTCCGATTGTTCTCCTTATGTCTGAAATTGACGATCTGCTCAGCGAGGTATTCTCATCCATATTTTGGATTTCATGCCAATTTGTTATATCAATCAGTAATTTTCTGCAAATTATTACAATCTTTTCTTAAAGGTCAAGGAAAAAGCTGTTGTGTGTCGCCAACTCACATTCCGATTCCGAAAGCATCGGCCGCTCCTACGTCAAGTAATTACGTTAAAAACTAAGAAATTAAGAACGTTAAAAATTAAGAAATTAAGATGCGTCTGTTGAAGCCATTCTCGAATTTTCAGATTAAAATGTATCTGTACGAACTGGTGCACGAGAATATCAACTTTACCGCCTTCGGATTTTTTCAGCTGAACAGGACTGTTCTGCATTCGGTAAGATCTCTCGATGAATGCGAAGATTGGAACCTTAATGAGTGCTTTGTTTAGATGTTTGCAACAACAGTGACGTATCTGGTCATCCTATATCAGTATTCCAATCGTCGTGACGAGGACGGTAGCAATACATCAGGAAATTAACGAATCTATAGTTATGTATTCATCAAACAAAAATATATGATTACACTTCTGTAAATTATGAGTGTCAATGCGACGTTTTCTCACCACCGAATTGACATTTGAATTTCGTTAATATTCAGCAAAGCCATAGCAATTGAAAAAATAAAATGGAAGCACTTTGCTTTATCAAATACAACGAATCCACATTCATGCTTTCATTTGAAGTACTCTCGTTCAATAATTCAAGCTGCCCTCGATTATCGTCACGAAATCTCCCCAGCAAGGACTATCTATTTCACACAATAATTGCGAGTGAGCAGTCACCTAACCATGGATAGAGAGACAAGCGTACTTTTTCGATCCATCACCGCCATTTTCAAGACATTCGGTCTCCTGCCCTTCACGATCACAGTGCCCTCAACGTCCAAGAAGGGCATTGACATTTCACCCTCCAGAGGTACCGTAGCGTACAATGTCCTGTTCTTCGCTGCTGTGCTGTACGCCAACTGTTTCGCTGGAATTCCCATCATAATCCGGCATGCTAAGAGCAAGCTACAAGACACTCAAGTAATTCTGGACATTCTGCACACCATCATGGCGAGTGGAATATCTCTCATGACCCTGGCCATGTTCAACGCCAGGCGCGCGAAAATGATGAACATGACTCGCGACTTTTTGGAAGTCGATCGATGTATCAAGAGGCATCGACACATCCAGTCGCTGAAATTTTCTCCCCGGCCGCTGACGGTGTTTATCATTCTGTATATCATAATGTGGATAGTCCTAGTCTCGACTGAGTGGCACGAGGACTTCGTGGCAGCGCCGAAAATGCAGTGGCTCCTCTGGGGTTTCACCTATCTAGTGCCAGTAGTTATAATAACTCTTTGCGTTCTGCAGTATGGCGTGATCATGAAGCTCGTGGCGTTTCGATTCAAATTACTGAACCACACGATTCGCAAATCCACTGATACAATCGCCCATTGTTTGAATCAGAATGAAACTTTTATACTTCCCGAAAGTGCAGGCGATCGTGTAATAGTCCATAAATTTCGATCCATCAAAAGTGCTCACGAATCGCTCTACGACTTCACGATAGCTGTCTCCCATTTTTACTCGTTCCTGATACTACCGATAATAGGGTTTTTCTGCGGGACTTTCATCTTCCTGTCCTTTGACTTCATGATGAACGCTATGTCGTCGAAGAATGAGGGGAATACGATAAGTAATTATGTCGCTTGGATCTTGATAGTAATCACCCCCATGGTCATCCTGCTTTCAAATATCGAGGCGGCTACTGAGGAGGTGCTCAACTTTTCGATATTCTATTTTATATTTTATGGGGGAGGGCAGGGCAAAACGGACCCCTAGGGCAAAACGGACCACTGACAGAAAATCGATAATTTTAATTTTTTTCTATTGATAATTGATAATTGAAAAATTCAAAGGCATTTGTGGTTTGAGGTGATGAGCAAATCCGATCAAATTGCGGTTCAACGACATTTCTTGTCTATAAAATTCCTGTGATTTTACTACCCAAGAAACCCACTTTTAATTCAAGACATTAAGTGTTCCTGATTTAAAGGAAAGAAAAAGAAACAAACATTACCAATTTTCTGTCAGTGGTCCGTTTCGCCCTACCCTCCCTTAGAATTGCACAAATTATTCTCTCATTGCAGTACGAGAGGACTCCCATCGAACTTTATAAATTGGCGTCCAGGTTCGAGAGCTGTCGAGAACTCGCAACTGAGGTAATTGAGCCCCCGATGACTCTCAGTGTCAATGATTCTTTTGCTTCTAAATGTCCAGGTGGAATTATTCTCGCACGATTTTCTTCACAAGAAGATGAAGTTGTCAGCACTCGGATGTTTTCCATTAGACTACACTGTGTTCCATTCGGTAAACACAATTTAGCTGATTAAAATCGTACGAAACAAAGAAGTTTTTCTCATTTGCAGTGACTTTTATTCCAGATTCTCTCCGCAACACTCACATATCTGATCATCATCTTCCAATTCCAGGAATCAAGAAGGATGGCTTCCAAAAAACCGGCAAATCTAACAAGTACTTGAGCAGTATTCCAAATCATTCAAATGAATAATTCATTTTATCTTTCCTGTTTACACGTTTCAGTACTAAAAATAAATAATAATACTATAGTCATCAATTTTATTATTAATCCTTTATTCATAATATATTGAAACATACATCTGTTTGCATACGCAATGGCACTGAGAATGTGGCAAAATAATATATCCCTTACAGTGAATTCCATCGACTTAGGCTCATTTCATATAAATTTTTTTATTCAACAAAATTTATCTCTCATAACACTCACCACATGTCTACCCGAAAAATGCTCTCAAAAGCAATCAGATACCAGACGTCAAATAACACGGACTCGTTGACTATCAAAAACAATATCAATACAAATTTCAATAATTAGAGATACACATTGCACATATTCTGAAAACTGATAGTCCCGAATCCACACACCCTAATAACGACAACTTACAACAGACAACAATGATAATGAGCACTTGTTGTAAATCAACAAATTCAACGCGAATACTATAATAACAAGCACACAAATACCCACCAAACATATGTAGATCGTTAATATTAACATCGTTAGCGTAAAAATTTCATACTTTCAATCGTTCATGGAAGTGTCTCTAATGATAACCGAGTAATACTAAATCGACACATCTTATCACCACAATCGTAAGAATTAGAATGTAATACTTGAATTCTTTTGTTCCATCTGTTGATCAGAAGATGCAATGTGCGTCGTAAATAAGTCATGAGCTGATCAACTGTGAATGCAACTTCCAACGAGCGAAACTCGATGCAGACAACACTTTTTACACTGACATTCCCTGATTTTCGCATCAATTAATTCAATGAATTCCAATGAATTCGTACCGTTCATTAACACTATCATTAAAGGAAGACAATCTTCCCAGAATTGTTCTCAAGACTGTCACTCTTCAAACTGAAGTTTCAGCGGACGTGGTGCCATTCGCTTTAAAGGATCCGGATTCCTTAGAGCGAATAAGATCTACCTGCAATACAACGTTATTCATAAAACAAATTACTCAAAAATTAAAGAATCGCTTAACTAGGGACGACTAAGCCAATTAAGGGAAGATCTTAGCTCATTTGGACGATTCAACGAAGCATCAAGTCGACGGGCCGTTGTGCTTGATTCGGTGATTGTGCAACATTAAATCCATGCAGTGGCAACACTCGACAATTCAGCATTAAACATAACGGTGAATTCAATCAATATGAAAAAAATGCGAATTACGATATCAATGATGACTGGCTATACCATTTTTTTCACTCAGGGTCTTAATATTACTCACTGAAGGTCGTATTAAACATGAGGAAGTGTCATGCCGGTGCTCTCGCTCACAGTGTTGCAAAGTGTGTGATACATAATTTAATGTATTTTCCAAACAACAAATTTCTATGATTTTTCAAAAAAAATCAATGCACCAATCACAATTCAATTGTGATTACAATTCAGAGTCATTGATGCTGGTCACCTTGATAGAGATACCGCAGTCATCCTCATCCTCCTCAGTCATAGTGGTTAACCGCGTCGTCTCGTCCACCGGACTCCCCTCCCTCTTAGATTGCTTCTTCTGCTTCCCCACACTTTCGGGCGAGAACGAAAAAAAAAGATATTGTACATTTTGTCTTAATGCGCACTTAAATTCTGTATGGTATGCTAAGCGATAGAATGATGCTGGTAGCGATGATGCGATGATACATGATGACAGCTATATAACAATATTTATATTCATTCATTCGTCGTACTTGATCATCTTCGGTTGCTTCTTCTCAGTTGAATTGACATCGTTGACTTGCTTCCAAATTCCACTTTTATTGACTTCCTCGCTGATATTGATGCTGGCCAAAGGTATCTTCATGACATTACCATTAGCCAATGATATCTGGAGGTTACCGGTATCACCGTAATCCGACGCTTCCTGCTGCTCCTGAAGCCATTAATTTCATCGATGGATTCTGATATTTCATTATAATTCAGCTATGAATTAATTAAACTGCTTCCACATCAATCGTGTGCTGTGAAGCGCATGGAAGGAACTGTACACAAATGCTGCTAATCATTGTCACACAAACATTTGTACTCTACCAAGCAAAAAACGTAATTTGGGCAACTGAGATATCGGGGTATTGTCGGGTTATCGCAGTATCCTAATTCTATGACGTTAGAGAATGATAATTCAAGGTAATCATACCTTGAGCTCTCTCAATCCTTCCGTGGACGATGTACGCGGGATAGCGTGTATTACGTCAAAAGCCATATTTGTTGTCTCTCTACATAATTTTTGGAAGGAGTGTTTGGTGTGGGCACAACGAGACACTTAGGTGATGGGCAATGTGTGTGTCGATGTTGAATAAACAACAGTTGTATACAAATGGTTCTAAATAATAATGTATTTAACAGCTGGGATAAGACGGGAAGACGCAAAAATTTGTGATATACGGGTGTATAAAGTGTTACGAACACCGTCGACGTGATTATCGACAAAATGTTGGATATCATGAGCCTGATAATTCAATTTAATATTGTTTAACAAATTTTTCTTTACACGAGACATTTGGCACATCGTTTACCACTGATTTGTATCTCAATTGTCATGTCTTACACCTTTTCTCTATCTAGTTCAACCTGTTGTCAATCGTGATGAGTTCAATGATCAGTGAAGTCATTCGACAACAGATTGACAATTACCCTAGTCCATGTAGGCATTCTCTAGTAAACGTAACAAAAAACTGATAAATGTAATAAATTTTTAAAAACATCTACTCTCTTGTCGCTTCGAGTTGGAAGCACAATGACCTGTTTAGGCTCTTTACTGTTAGATTACAAAATGACTCATGTATTTGGTGTTGCTGAGTCGTAGAGAGTCTTTTTATCATAGTCGCACAGTGATATTGTGACCACGGGACACGTAGTCCCGGGATCACTTCTCGGATGTTATTTGCGACAGACGATTGCTCTTAGTATTCGGGTTACGGTGCTAACCTCGCCGCTCTCCAACTGACGTAGATCGTCGGCATGCTTCTTGGTTGACTCTGGCATAACGTCATCAAGAATCTTGAGCTCACGACGGGTGAAAAGAAGATCCAATGATTTACGAATGCCAATCATCACCACCAACTGTTGACAAATTCATACAAATTTAGACAGATTATTCACGAAGGATAAGTGCTTGCACTTACCATTAACGGGAATAAGATTGAGGTGCTGCTAAACGATTTTATCGTCCAGAGACAGGCAAGACAAGCAATCTGAATTAACGTGAACATGTGAACTCGCTTCAGAGGGACCTGCAGGGAAAAACGGAGTGTGAGTATCCTTTCGGAATTCTTGAAGGTCAGAGGGATTTACATCATAAGTCATGATAAGACGCTTCAGTCTCTTCGTCTTTAATTGAATCGACATTAATCGCTAGAGGAAAGGAACTACTGTAGATTTACCTGACGTAGGAACATGTAGTCAGGTTGATATTTGACAGGCATGAGCATGATCAGTATTCTATCGAAGAATTGGAGGCCCTTGAGTGATGCAACGCCCATGTACAGGAATACCCCAAACAGTACAGGCATTGGAATGTGGCTCAGCATTGGTGTGAGTAGAACAGAACAACCAATCATGAGAAATATCAATATGTGGGTGACACGTTGTTCTCGCACCCCCAGAAACTGTGGTTTTTCACCAGGTGCTGCACACTCCGACTCGAGTTTGAGCGAATTAACGTGATTTATTGACAGGACGGTGGCGGCTACGAACCAGGGTAATCCCATTACTGAGCAGATTTCAATCAATATCGCCAGAACGAAAAGATCAAGATGATAGCCGCAGCCTTTCTGTATCAACAAAGAGAATTATTCAAGTGATTCTGTTATCTTTGGTTTAAATTTTTCCAGAAAATCCATACTTTCAGTTTATTTTCTTTTCTGTTGACGATAACCGCAGTGATTTGTTGATCCATGAAAATTAAAATTGTTCCCAGTAGTGCTGGTAGGCACGCGACAATAGCACTCCACCATGGATTTTCTTGGAACGGCCAGATGATCCAGCCGCGTCCCTCGAGGGTTGGCTTGAATTCACTCGGCACTTCGAGCTTTGGAGTGGCTATTCCCGTGCAGTAGTCGAGTATTGACATTGAAAATATTGCGATTATCACTGCGAAGTCACTCACGATTTGTCTCACCTGGGAATAGAAATAATACTGTTGCGTATTTGTTCTTTTTCTGAAACATCTTCGTGAACGATCGTCTCTTTCTATCTCGTTAGTCTTTTATGTTGTGTTTTTCCGCGGACGTGTCGTGTCCCTTGTTGCATTTATTCAATTATTTCTTCCGTTTTAATATTTTAATGAATATTTGGTCTTTATAGAGGGATTTTATGATATGATATGGAAGCTGATAAAATAGTGGTTGTAGATTTTTACCTTGGAGGGGAAGAATAGGGCATTTTTGAAGTCCTTGAGCTCGACAGACAGCAAAAATGTCCCCATGAAAAGTATAATTGACATAAGGAACACATCGGGTACGTACTGAGGCGTTGTGCATCCGTCCCCTGTTAAAGTACCGTTCAAATTCTGAAAGGAAAAGCCACAATTATCAGATCATATCATTCACAATTAATTAATTAATTAATTCGATGAAATTTTCCATGCATTTTTTATCAATTGCCATTTTTACGTTATTATATTAACAAGCAGGCAGATATTTCATTTTATATCTCGACGTTTCATGACATTCTAAGTAATTTCCAAGCAAAATTAAAGACTTGGAAAATCTACGGATTACAACGTTTGCATTCGGAACCAAAAAATATAGAAATTAAAATTAAAGCTCCTCATACCTGACACGAAACTTTATCCAAAGCAGTCCAATTAACGCTGCTGTAGCTCCCCGGCAATACTGTTAACGTACTATTAGGCGGTCTGCATAAGCAATTCATGTCCAGGAGTTCATTTCCGTGAGTATTGAGAGGATACTTCTTCCCAATGGCAAAGACATTTTCCACTGCTTTGTATATGAAGATGAAGGCTATTAAAGTAGCAAAATTCTCCTCCGTGAATCTCGTGATATAACAGACAAAGGCGCTCGCATCGATTGCCACTAGTACTATGAGAATTCCGGCGATCCAGGAGCCGATCCAAAATCGGAAGGACATGTAGTTCCACGCGGTTTTTCTGTGAACGAAATAATAGGAAGAAATCCGGTAATTACGGAATCGACTCAGAAAATTTAAGTGACGGTATCGTAATTTTTCACAGGAGATTCAGATAAAAATTACGAGACGCTCCGGAAAAATTCCGTGAAAGTTCCGTAAAATTTCCTACAACCACATTTCGCTTCGGAAATTAAATCTAATAAATCTCTCAGTATTATGAATGGGTTTGTCCCGCTCTCCTCTACTCACCTGCAAAATTCGAAAACTATTGTCTCAAACACAAGTACAGGCCCCGTAGAGCCAAGAATGGTGAGCGGTTGACCAGAGAAGAAGCCGTAACCGACTCCGCAAACGAAACCGGATACGAGAGACTCCATGGCGGCCATGTTCTTCCCGGTGGCTTCACTGAGAAGACCTCCAAACGTGATGATAGGCGAGAGACAAGCGAAGTACAGAAAGATGAAGGATGCGATGCACTGCAGTGCCATGGCGTCCTTGAAATCGGTGATGTAGAACGGAGCTTTTCTCTTAATATCGTTGATGAGCCCGCCGAATAATCTCCCCGTTCTCGATAATCCAGACTCCTCGCGGAGCTTTTGTTCGTCGGCCTCTTCGTCCACCTCCTCTTTAGGTTTCTCTTCTTTTGGCCTCTTTCTAGTGTCCTGTAATGAAAATTTTAAGCACCGAGGATAAGGCCCTGCCATTGTTGTGGGCAAAACATTTTATTTATTTGCGTATCGTGCAGACTATGCGCGCTATAGGCATTCCCATGGGACAATATGGCTTAACTACAGTTATGAATCTTCAAAAGTAACTCAATTAGAATTGAGGATTAGCGGGCAGAGAGTTTCAACGTATTTCAGTGCAAAACGACAATAGGCGAATAATCTACTGCCTGACAAAAATAGTGATTGTGACTTTAATGTGTGCTTAATATGGCACTGTGTCGTTCTTATGTAAACTTTGAGGGTCCAGGTGGCATAGAAGTTATGAGCATTTGATAATCTGTATTTTTGACACAATACACAGTTAAAACGAACATCTGAATTTCACACACCTTTTGTAGACATTTTTCAGACACTAAAAAACGTCTGAATAAAATGAAAATTTGTCTGCAAAAGGTGTGGGAAATTCAAACATTCATTTTGGCGCTGATAAAAACAAACGCCAGTACAACACAAGTTCACAAATGCAAATAAATAAGAATGTATAACACAAATAAGTAATCTAAAAATCATAAAATAGATAAAATAACAAAATAAATACAATTAATAACAATAAATAGAATAAATAGTATTATAAAAATTTTTGATATTCACCTGTGAGGGAATAGCTGCAGGTGGTTCTATTCTTATCGTCGGATCCCACTCCCCAGGTGGCAAGACGGTGACAGCATCCAAAAATTCGTCGATCCCCGCTAGTAGGTGATTTCTATTCTTGGCTTTGTAGGCGACATCGTGGAAGACCTCGTCGGACATGAGGGTCGCCATGGCCCTCCCGATCTCATGAAAGCCGGAAATCCCACCCTATTGACGGAATAATCACATGAGCAAGAGTGCCTCCTCCAAACGCTCACTTATATCGTCGGGGGGACAACACAAACACCGCGATGGAAAATTTATTGTGGAATACATCAGCCATTGTGACCATAACAATGACCGTTTCGGGGGCGTTATGATGGGTGTTACGAGAGGAATTGATGTTTATTATTACCATCGGCCCGAGAAGAATGAAGATGAATCTCGTGGGCACTGGCACTTCCGTCAAATCTCCCATCATATTGGCTTGGCTGAGGCGGATAAAGGCCGGTAGTGTTTTCTCCAGGAAATCAACCTCTCCAACTAGGATATTACTTGCCTCGGCACCTGCCGGGATTTTCCGCATAAAATGCGTATTTACCTGGGACCGATGCAGGTTCAATAATTTTTATTTACCCATTCCACGGCTTTTCCTTGATTTCACGGTTTTTTTCTTTCATTTCAATTGTTCTTACCTTGTGATTGCCGTCTCCGTTATCTAAACCACCTGAACTGTGATTTCTGCTTATCGATATACTACTGGGACTTCGATCTATCGTTGGCTCTTGACCTGGAAGATGAATATTGCTTGCAGAGTACCGCAATAAGCTTGACGTTCCATTCTGTTTCAACGTGCAGCACAGTTCTTTCTCGGGGATTCTTCTCGAATTATTTATTGATTGCTCTTGGGAATTGACAGGCTTTCTGGGGTTTTCAGAAACGCTGGAATTGTCGGCGAGAAAGAACTGCGGATTCGTGGACTCAACACGCACGAAAAAATTGAATAGAAATTTTTCATCAGCTTTTTTTCAACTCAACGTTTCAGTTGCATTTTTTTTATTTTGTCATGCGATTTCTCAATAAATATTTGATAGAAACAATTCAATAGACATTAATTTTTTCTGTTTATGAGAATTTTGAGACTTAAGTTTTTTCAATTTCAATCGACTTGTTAATGAGGAATAAAACAATAGAGCGGAAAAAATTAAATTCTACGAATTTCTATCAAAAATCAAAGATTTTGTATTAAATTTTTTAAAATGCGAAGTACTCGTAAATTAAATTATTCAGCAACGTCCAGGGTTTATCCAAGCAAATAAAGATTGTAAAAAATCTACATTTCAAACGTTTGTTAGGCAGTGCTCAAGGGATCGTGGGTTTTATCGTTTGCATGCACGCGACTTCTAATCCATTGCATGATGAAATGTCAAGGATGGATATAACTCTCCCCTTCGTGACTGACCTGTTACATTATCCCATATATTATTATTTACACGTGTAAGGTGAATAAAATTATATTTAGGTTTGAATTTAGGGTGAAAATGTTCCGAGTATTTGTCAACCACCCAAGAAATTGTGCTGATGCTGAAGATTGATGTGAATAGTGTCTCATGTTTTATGTTTGTATGAAAAATTTATGTCCTCATAGCGCTCGTATTTTTACATCCGACAGTAAAGCGTTAAAATCGATCATGTGAAATGATGAAAAATCGACGGCAATGCGAGCACCACCAGGCGTGAATTGTTTTTTTTATAGTGAAATACATAAAGCGATTCATCAGGATTACCAGGTATGGCAAGAAAACGGCTGCCGGCACTCATTCCTGTGCCACCATGACTTGCTATTGCCGGTGCAGAGTTTGATTCCTCCACTACGAAGCACGAAATGATAGAACAGAAATAGACGATGGATATTTTATGTACAAGGAATATTTATAGTGTCGTGGAGAATGTTATGAACCTATTGATAATGAAATGAAATATATTCTGTTTCGATGGATTGAAAAGGTGAGACGTACACTGTCTGAAAAAAATTGAAATTTCGGGGACAATTCGAGAGGATTTTCACCTGAATTTTCCTGATCTCTACTAATTTTCGTGAGATAATTTAATGAAATGCAATTTTCATTTATTTTTAGAGACAATTTTTAATTTTTCATTGCGCAATTTTGTGAAATTTCAGGGAATTATGGTGTGATGCTAATTTGGAAGAATTATATCGGAAATTTCAACCAACATTTTTCAACAGTGTAGGTACGTCAAGATACATTGAGATTGTTCCATTCTGTGCTTGAATTAAATCAGAAATCTGATGTATTATCCATACGCTTTCAGCTTCTAGTCTAACATTTAGATGGTTAGAGTGAAGTTAGAAACAGGACATTTCTGACGTGCCAGACAATACACGCAATAGGGTGAAGTAGCACAGTTTTTTCAAGTATATTGGTATAGATATTTATTGAATTTTAGGTGAACATTTTAATCCATCGAAATAAACGTGACCATCTGACCTTTCAGACGACACATTGCGATCCACGCGGTGAATCCTACTACATGAGGTATGTTGAATTCAGCTAACCATTGAGCACCAAAAGAAAAAAAATTTCATTCAAGATTTTATGAATAACTGTGTGAAATTGTAGTTGATTAGTTTTTTAATGCGCTATTTTCTCTTTCGGTGTTTTGAGGAGAGAAAAAAAGATTCTTGTTTCTGGAAATGTGGGATATTTCCACTTGTTTTAAGGAGTTTATCCCGTAATGATCAGACAACATTTCAAATTTTCATTATTTTTTTCTAAAATCTAAGGTAATTGCGTGGAAATTAAAAACATTTAATTAATTTTGAGAATAAGGAACTAGAGTTTGACTTTTTTAAAGGAATTTTCATTAATTTTTGCTAAAACCGAGCAACATTATATCATTTAAATTATTTAAATTAATAAAATTCAAGAAATCCTAAACTTCATTTTCTTCAAATGTTTGCAGTTTGAGAATTCAAAAAATGCGAATAATTGATAAAATACAAACAATTTTTTATTTTAACAATAACAATTTTTATTTAAAAACATGTTATTTTTTCTTTCGGTGTTTTGAGGAGAGGAAAAAAGAATCTAATCTCTAAAAATTTGGGATATTTCCACCTGTTTTAAGGAGATTTTCCCGTAATGATCAGACAAGAACTTTCAAATTCTCATTATTTTTTCTAAAAACTCACACGCTTGCCTTGAAATTAAAACCATTCAATCAATTTTCAACTTTATTATTTTCAAATGATCTCAGTATAAGACTTTAAAAAATGTAAATAATCGATAACCTCCAAAAAAAATTATTTAAAAAACAATCGTAACTTTTCCCTGAAACTAGAACCTTTTTTCTTCTCTGTGTAGTCGCAGTGGTTCCTCACCCCCAACGATTCTGTCGCAAACTCTATAACCAAGTTGTGGGGCACATAACTAACTTGCACTCCAAGTTACTCAGGGAAATCGGATGTATTGGGTTGATAGTCTATCAAACTAGCATAACTAATTCAGGGAAATTGGCTTGAACGTTAGTAAATGCAGCTGTTGGTATTTCCAACGCATACCCATCACCGGGTAACAATAATGTGACCTTGTTTGTACCTGGTACAAGGAGATACGGTCCTTTTAGGTCTTTCGAGTCTTTCGATATAAGTGCTGTATTTGGATTTGGACAGCTTGTACTGCGCGGCACAGCTGGTGTGTATGCATCACTGGGACGAGCCTGTAAATCTGATGTCAACAAGCCACGCATACCACATGTAAAGTCACAATCTGTAATTTTTTTTTTTTGCGTAATGCGTTAATCAGGCTCTGGAATGATCCACCACAATTGGGGATAAAGAAAAATAATTAAACTTAAAATAGACACGTATTTTAAAAATTCATACAAAAACCTAGCACTTCCTCCAAGAAATTCTACTGAATTCAAAAGTTTTATTCGAATTCTATTTAAGATGCACTTTAATCTCGACATTTTTTCGAAAGATCTTTATTTTTAGAAAAAAAATCAACAGATTTTTCGGCATAATTTTTTTCATAGCATTTTCATAATTAAATTCAAGAAAAAAACCTTAGAAAATATACTTAGAACTTCAAGAAAATTTCTGAGCGAAAGATCCTAGATCTTCTGTTTAATTTTTCAGTACGTGACATAAACCTAAAAAAATAGAAATAAAAATAAAACTAAAATAAACCCAAGGAAAGAAGGTATCAGGTGAATAAACGAGTGCTAAACAAGATAAAAAAACATTCGATAAATAAAAAAAATCGATAGGCAAGCGTCAGGAAGTCTGGAGAGTTTGAAGGTTCAAACAAAAAAGAAAAAAGGGGACTGTGGTGTTCACCTTCCAAGACCTTGTCCCCGATTTCACCGTGAACTCATCTCCCCTGAAATTTCCATTGATCCGCCGAGTGTTTCCGACAGTTCTGACAACGATGAATACGCCCCAAAAAATTGTATCTCTGATACCTGACCAATTCTCATCAATTTATCTCATTAATTCTGGGCTTATTATCCTGGAATTATTTATTACTCACTCTTTGACGACGAGTGGTTCCTCCCGATATCCGCCAACGACCGGATGATGGGTAGACGAGACATGTTGTTGTCCTTCCGGCGCTCGTGCTGATGCCGATGTCGCACCAGCAGAGCCTCCCTCACCTGCAATTTCCGTGTCACATTGAGGCTGAAATCCCATTGGTTTGGGAGGGGAAATGAGAGTGAGTACCTTCTCTCGGGTGTCAATTGGGAGGACTCCTTTGCTGATCATGTTATCGAGAACTAGATCGGCAATTTGCTCGAGACTGCTGGCCTCCATATCGAGCATAACTGTGCCATTGAGCAGAAGACTTCTGAGCTCGAATAATGAGTGGAGCGATAACGTCGCTACGTGCGGCTTGCTCCAGCGGTTTCCACCCTCTTCAACGTCCTCCTCGAACTTTATCCAACTGGTGAGTTATTCCGAGGGAAATGGAGAAAATAAAACGTTCTCATTGAGTAATTTTTTTTCATGGGGTAAAGGGGATGCTTTGGGGGGTTCAGGAACAAAATGTCTTGGTAATGGGTGATTTAAAGAGAAAATTCCGAGGAGTTTAGAATTTATTTTAATGGTGAGGGAATTGAGGAGAAAGTGTCAACATTTTTTAAAGTGATTAAAAAAACGTTTTATGGGAATTACCGATAACATTTGGTCATCAATAAAATTTATCCACCGATTGAAAATGTTCCACTTGTTAAATGTGAAATTATCTCTTGCGTCCGGACTTAATCCAACTGATGAATTATTCCGAGGAAAATTTTAAAAAAAATGGATTGAGTAAATGTTCTGCGGATTAAACTAAACCACGAATTAATCGAATTATGTAACAACGAGTAGTAGTACCGGGCTGTTTCTTTCCACTCCATCTCATCTCCATCCTTGACAAGCTCCTCCATTTCCGAGAAAAGTGGATGAGACTCGTGGGCATCGTCTCCGACCTCTTCACCCAGGATAAATTGCACCCTTTGTGCCGGTGGAGTGACTGAAATTAGAGTTTTATCGTGGATTTTCAAAGTTGTGGGATTCTTCGGGCTATTCATAACGGGGAAAACCCAAGTCTTGAAAAATATGTGTATAAGCATTAGCCAGGGGAATTCAAATCTCCTCGAGACCTAATCATTCGAAATAACTCAACAACCATTCGCAGTCGTGGGAGAGGGGTCAAACCAATATAATAGTGTTTTTATGGTTGAAATACAGAGGAAAAAAACCTCAAACATTTGCATTGATTGATTCATTCACTCATTCATTCATTCATTCATCTATTTATATAAAGTGCAATCAACTTCTCAATTTGAAGAGATTTGTCCCTCCATAGAAAACATAACGAGTGCGTTTTCACTATGAATGTTTACCTGAAATATGTACACAGAGAGAAGAGTTGGATGAAAATTACCTAGAAAATCGCGGCAAATTTTGAAAACTGTAAAAACACCTGTTTGTGGAGGATATTTTACCATTCATTTTTGGTTAAAAAAAAATTTATGGGGAGAAATAGTTCTCCATTACAAAAAAATTGTACGCAATATCGAGCAATCACGTTCACTGGGATAATTTTTAATGGAATGCGAGGTAAATATTAGTTTCGGAGCAAATTACCCTCACGTTCAGTAAATTTTTCCGGGCCAATGAAGAGAAATTCACTATTCGTCTCGTTCTTTTTCCCCCACGCATGAAATAATTTAGTAGAAACACAGGAAATTCGCTAGACAATTCCATTGAATTTCAACTGAACTTCCCATTAGTTTTTACCCAACTATTAAAGTATCCACAGAAAAAGGCAATAGAATGCGATTTTTTTATCCAAATTATTCTATCAAGATATTTTCTATAGAATTCCCTCGGCTCAAATTTTCCAAGCTATTTTCATTCCATTTTTCTTTTATTTTCATCAAGAAAATCAAACAAAAAAACTAAAAATTTTGTGGCAAGGAAATTTTATCGAAAATATCTCAACAGATAAGTTGTATAAAAGACTCGAATTCTATTGACTTTTTCCATAGAAATCCAATAGAATTGCCCAGCGAATTCGCTAGGATGAATTGTTCGGTAATTTTCCTCCAACTTTTTCTCCGTGTATCAGTAAACTAAATAAACGAGCGTTTCTCATAACTATAACAAACGACAAAGGGCCAACATAAAAGGCGAAACCATAGCATCATGTTTCATAAAAGTCTCTACTCCAAGTAATTAATTAAATCCAAAATGAAAAAAAACTGATGCGAAGTAAAAGGGGTATAGAAGCAGAGAGCTGATAACATTTTCTTGCTATTCGACAATATCTCGCATTCACTGAAATTCCGTGAAAACCCCGATGAATACGAGATTTTATCGGTGATTGTGGGCTTACATATAGTCTCGCCATCGGGGTCACAGATGCTAGCTAGTCGACTACCCCTTCTCGCCATCATCAATGGCCCTGTAACGTCAACGAGAAAAGCAACTCGTCTATTGCCCTTACCACTGTATTTTTGTAAATTTCACACTGAAGCATCTCCACGTGAACGAAAAAGTCTATTGTTCGATATAAGAGGGGATTGCCGGACATTTCGCCCCGCAACTCTCACAATCCCTCCATTTCTTATATTGTATTTCTCTTCCACAAGTCAGTTTACCATCGCAATTATTGCAGTGACATGAAACCGCTGAGGAAAAATTAATTTGGAAGATGGAGACGGATGAAATACTCTTGGATACGATTGAGTGAAAAAACATTCGACGTGGAAACATTCATAGGACACATCACTTACTGGGTCGCTCATTCTCGGGCTCCTCTTTGCTGTCGGGCTGACGTGGGTGGTGATGTTTGTGATGGCGACGATGTCGTTTTTCACCTGGGAGATGAACCCCCACATACACCGTGTGCGCCCTGTGTCCTAGAAATCATGAAGAGGTTTTTATGCTCGGTCATTTGTTCGCGGAGTTGAAAAGAATTGAGACGAAAATAGGCATTTTAATGGGAATGCCTATCATGTGGGGGGAGAGGGGGTTGGGGAGGATTTATTGAACGCAATCCGCGGAAAAATTGTAAAAAAACTGTGGCCTTGATCATCAGGGGGGGGGGGACATGGACAAGAGTATGGGGGAAGTTCTGGTAGTTTATGGTTGATTATTGGACACGTGAAAATTCTTGGCTGGAATTTGCGGTGCACTTTTTTGAAATTTTTGTCAAATTGTAATTGAAATGGAATTTTAAGGATAATAATAATAATAATATAATAATAATATAATATAATAATGCTTACAATAAATTATCAATCAACAATAAAAAAGGAAGGAAAATTCAATCCGCAGGGAATATTTTATTTACTCAAATAATAGTCACGTTAATCCCGAATCAATTTAATATTTGCACAGATATCTGCGATAAACTCGTCAGCAGTTGAAACAGGAACAATCGAATATGATGAGTATCGATTCACACGCGAGGCATGACGAGCCTAACGAGTCACGTCATACCCTCCCTGCACTACTTGTGACCCAGAATGTCGTTCTATGCGAGAAACACACCTCTGAAAACTGGACTGCCGACTTTGGATTCCGAGGAGTTGTGAAAAATAATGAGAGAGGCTGAAAAAACGGTTGGAAGAGTGGTGAATGAGGAAGCAATTTTATTGTAGAAGATTAATCAAGGGTTGGACTCTGCATAAATATTCCCATGATTTCAGAGGCGATGCTGCCCCTGTAGTGTTTAACCTCGGGGTCGAAGCTCATTTTGCGGAGATAACACGCAGGTTTAACGATTTCCGAAGCCCTCCCCTACGCTGTTAAAAAAAACTCAAGTTTCATGGACAGTAGACGGGTAATTTTCAGGAGAGTACATTGAGCGCGATTTAAGGGGAAGAAATTTCAGATTTCAATGGAAATGAGATGAGAATTCCGCGATTTATTTGACGTTGAAATGAAAGTGTGAGTATTCAGTACCCAATTGCGATGAATTTTCAATTAATTGAACATTCCACAATTTATTTACCGGAATTTTTCAGATTTTTGCTGATCGTCGGGGAATAATTGAACTGAAATTTAGAGTTCTCATTGATTTTTCACATCGAAGAATTTCTATAAAAAATGTCTCAATGGAAAAAGTTGTATAGAAAGATGACATTTTACAGATTTTTTCTATAAAATAATTTTTATTGGACTTTTCTATGAAAAAAAAAACAAGCTGTGTAATTTACTAGAATTGCCCCGAAAACTAATAGAGATGAAATTCAATAACCCTCAATTGAATAATACGTTCTCAATATAGCCTTCATCTGAATAATAATAATTGAACTGAAATTTAGAGTTCTCATTGATTTTTCACATCGAAGAATTTCTATAAAAAATGTCTCAATGGAAAAAGTTGTATAGAAAGATGACATTTTACAGATTTTTTCTATAAAATAATTTTTATTGGACTTTTCTATGAAAAAAAAAAAAAAGCTGTGTAATTTACTAGAATTGCCCCGAAAACTAATAGAGAAGAAATTCAATAACCCTCAATTGAATAATACGTTCTCAATATAGCCTTCATCTGAATAATAATAATTGAACTGAAATTTAGAGTTCTCATTGATTTTTCACATCGAAGAATTTCTATAAAAAATGTCTCAATGGAAAAAGTTGTATAGAAAGATGACATTTTACAGATTTTTTCTATAAAATAATTTTTATTGGACTTTTCTATGAAAAAAAAAAACAAGCTGTGTAATTTACTAGAATTGCCCCGAAAACTAATAGAGAAGAAATTCAATAATCCTCAATTGAATAATACGTTCTCAATGTAGCCTTCATCTGAATAATAATAATTGAACTGAAATTTAGAGTTCTCATTGATTTTTCACATCGAAGAATTTCTATAAAAAATGTCTCAATGGAAAAAGTTGTATAGAAAGATGACATTTTACAGATTTTTTCTATAAAATAATTTTTATTGGACTTTTCTATGAAAAAAAAAAACAAGCTGTGTAATTTACTAGAATTGCCCCAAAAACTAATAAAGATGAAATTCAATAACCCTCAATTGAATAATACGTTCTCAATATAGCCTTCACCTGCGCGAATGAATGAAAGCACCATTACCTTCATAATCCTTCTCCGAAAAAGACTGATGCGTGATACGTGCGCCAGGATCCTTGGGCGCTTCATCATCTCCGGGATTAGTGCCTCGTCCGTGGCCACCGCCACCTCCGCCCCCGGGCTGCATCCACGGGCTTAAACAAAGAAATGAACATTAATACCTGAAAAGTGGAATTCATTCGCGTTTAGCAATTTAGCCAGTAACAATGTAAGCCAGGTAATTTTCTCGCGCGTGGGCGTCGGTCTCTTCCCCTGATAGCATCTACCCGCATGTCAGATAATTCTCTACAATCTCCGGTCTATTTCATCGGCGTGGAGTCACGTGAGTCGCTTCACGAAAAAGTGGATGCGTAAATTCAACATATAACATTAATTTTTTTTAATTTCTTCGATGATTTCAACTGCTGTTAGAGAATTACTCTTGACATTTCACATTAAAAATAGAAATTCTCAATAGAAAAAATCTAAAGTTGTTAGATTCATTTTCTTAACTACTTTTCATTGATAAAAAAAATAATTTTCAACAACAACAGGTTTAAAAGTATTTTTTTAATAGTTTTTATTGATAGATAAATGAATTTTTTCAATGAATATTCAAATATTTAACGAGGTTCACATTCTCAGGTCTATGGGACACTAAAAATTATTGAAAATTTCTAAAATTAAAGGAAATCTATTTCGAAATTTTCGCGTGAGTAAACAACGCTATAAAAAATTCTTAAAGTGCAAAAAAAAATTGAAAACAATATAATCTCCAAGTGGATAAGTAAATCGATCTCACAATATTAATTTTTTTAAACTTCCTCGAAATTCGAAACACTGTTGGGAAATCGCTCTTGAAATTTTGCATAAAAAATCAACATTTTTAAGAACAATAAATTTTAAAGTGATTTTTTACGTTTTTCATTAATAAATCAATGAATTTTTTAAATGAATATTCAAATATTTAACAATGTTCACATTTTGAAGACCATATAACCCAAAAAATTATTAAAAATTTCCAAAATTCAAGCAAATATATCTCAAAATGTTTGCGTGAATGATCAATGTCATAAAAAATTCCTAAATTACAATTACAATACAATTTCCAATCGTTATCTTACACCTACGTGTCGATCGCCACGAGAATCGTCAACCGAACCAACCGATTCTCCTACCAATTGTGATGCAACAGCAGGTGCTCGACCGGGTCTTATACCCAGGACAACAAAACGCCGCCAATGAATGATCATCACAAGCGAATCTCCCAGCCTCAAATTCATCAGTGCAATAATCGTAACATCGCAACGACTGCACTTCCTCCGTGATTATCAGCCGGAATGCCGAGTGGTGAAGGTCGACGGCGAGGTCGCAACCTCGATAAACAGTCTATAATTCCTCATGACCCGAGAATATGACTTGATAACGCCCGAATCGCCTTATCAGTCATGCGGAATCTATTCGCAAACGACTTCAAAGACAAATTGCTCGTTTCGCCTAGACGACAAACATTTCATCCTCTGAAATTAATTCACTCGTTGTCGAGTAGTAATTGACAGTTACCTCCGACTGGGGCAGAATGGTTTGGGGGGACGAGAGTTATTTCAGCACAAAATATTAATTTTTTTAAACTTCTTCGTAAATTTGCGATACTTTGAGAAATTTTTCTCGAAATTTCACGTGAAACATCTTGATTTTTAAAACACTGATCGTTTTGTCGTGTTAAATCAATTTAAAAAAAGAAAGTTTGAAATGAGTATATTTTATACTAGAATCAAGTATACGCATGAATCTGATTCAAGAATAAAATATACTTAATTCAACAAAACATAACAAAAATGAAATTTAAAAGAATTTTGTATAAACGAAAATGTCGTTTTCGTTATTTCGTTTATTTTTTCAAGTAAATTTTGTTTCAATAAGATATACTCGGTTCAAGTATATTTTATACTCAACTCAGATATATTTTTTTCCGTAAAAATAAAGAATCATCAGGTTTTTGAATTTTTAATGGAATTCCAGCTTTTAAAAAAATGAAATTCTAGGCAATGGAATCTGTTGTTAAATGACTTCAAAGCCAAATTACCCTTTCAGCCTAGATGACAAACATTTAATCCCCTGAAATGAATTCAGTGGCTGTCTTTTCGGAACGAACCAACGGTCAAGATCACGTGTCGTCCCTGATAACTGCCGGGCAGCAATTGAATAATTACCGCAGTAATAGTAACAGTTACCTTCGACTGGGGGGCGAATGACGTGGGGTCGACATTATAATCTCCCCTATCCTGATTGTTTAATTGCCAGAGGTCAGCGGGAAGAGCCGGCGAATGGCTGTCTCAATTCTACACTCAAAATGAAACAGCAGTTTCATCATGCGGCTGTTGACAATCAACCAAGTGGCAATTCAATCGTCATCGATCACTCGCTGTCCAGAGCAGACTCCATGTAATGATGATGAAGTTGTGATTGAGTTGTATCATCAGATTCTGTCCGCGTGGGATTGAAATCAATTTCTATTTTACGGGGATTGGAAGCGTGGCACTGGTATTGTATGTTCATCAAGGGAGTATTAATTGGAAAAGCTGGAGCTTGATGAGTCTCAGGGAGTCCGGATGAGAGGGATGTCCCTGTCAATTGCTAGGGAAAACGCATTTTCTTCGGTTGAAGTGGAGGAGAAAGTTTCATCTTATTTATGAGGATTTTTTTTTATTGAAGAAGGTGAAGCTGGGAGTCTTGACGCGTCTAAATCCATTTTGTTTTATTCATTCGACGACAGATATGAAATTATTTAGAAAACGAGTCGTTTTGAAAGAGAAAAAATCTGGCTTTTTGTTTAAAAATAATTATCTTTTTTAGTGAATACACAATTACCAAAATTTGTTATTCTGTCTCGAAATGAACTCCAAGAGACTATTCAGTGTCAAATAAATACTAATGGAGGAACAATCACAACATTATTTGATGAACATAATGGAGAAGCCCTTGTGACAATAGGCATATCCCTTTCAATTGCCTGAGAAAGTGTATTTTCTTTAGTTGAAGTGGAAGAGAAAGTTGTTTGACGTATTTACGACGAATTTTTTTTTTGAAGAAGTTGACGAAGCTGAGAGTCTCGACACATTCAAATCCACTTCGCTTTATTCTTTCGACGACAAATATGAAATTTATTTTAAAACGAATCGTTTTAAAAATGAAAACAACCTGACTTTATGCTGAAAAATAATTTTATTTTTTTAATAAATCCACAATTACCAAAATTTTTATTCAGTCTCGAAATGAACTTCAAGAGACTATTAAATGTCAATTGACACTACTATTTGATGAACATAATGGAGAAGCCCTTGTGACAATATCATTTTTCAATTCAAGTGGATGACAATACGGCCTCCTCCCACACTCCCTGCGATCGGGTGGGGTCTAGATGCTCTGTTGTTGTAGCTCAATGTCGCGCTATATGAAATAAACGTTGTGGCAACGCTCATATGCGGAAATATTTCGTTAAGAGATCGAATTGACAGCGTGAGTCAGATTTCTAATGACCGCCTCGACTCATTCCCCCTTTCTGCACTTCCGGAATTCTGGGATTACGTGAGAAATAAGTACTCTTACGTCGTTTTTTCATTAATAATTTGTAAATAATCAAAGAATCTTTCATTCTAAAAATTAATTCTCATTTTACATGACAAATCCGACGATTAAAATCATAAAATTTCATTTTTAACGCTGAGTTGGATAATATTTTCATTTTAATAATAATAATAATGAAATAATTTAATGATAGTAATAAAATATTGAATAAATCTGGGATTGATGAACTCAATTTTTTCAATTCTTTGAAAGATTTGAAACTAATTTTTCTCTGACATTTTCAAAGAAACATTATTTCTTGTGCAGTATTTTCTTTCCATTTCTTGAATAAAACAGGAGTTTGTAGTGCACGCGAGTCTCAGCGAGTGCAATCTTATTCGCCATGCAAGGCCACACAGTTGCGCTACCTGTTGCATTTACCCAGGAACACGTCTTCACCTATATTCCATTGGCATATGACCCGTGGGATCATTGAGAATTGAGTACGTAATTGTGGTTTTATCATTGGGGTGTAGTTAGAATGTAATATCGGATTGGCACTCGTAGAATTTGCTTGGAATACTAATTAACCGTGTGGAAATAATGAAGGAATCGTGGAAAATTTCCTGGAATAATTTTCCTCATCTCTTCAACATTCTGTGCAAAACGTTGAATGTTCGACAGAAAATGCTTCGTGATATTTTATTTTAAAACAATTCCTCGTCGAGATAATTTTATGTTTAAAACATTAGAATTTATTTAAAATTTAAATAAATTTGCACTTCAGCTTTTAAAAAATTTAAAATGTAAATTTAAATTTTCGATGTTGTGAATTCATCTCTAAAACTCAACGGAATAGAGCCTTTTACGCAAAAAAATCCATTGATATTCGAATAAAAGCTTGAATTTTTAAACTTATTCTGCAAAAACGAATATGACATTTGATTGAATTTGCGATAAATTAAGAATTCAGAGAAATAATCGCTTGTATTTTCTATCTTCAATTATTTTTATTGTAACATGTACCTAAAAATAATAATTTTATTAAATATTCATCTCAACTGATTAATCAATAATAAAATCACACAGAAATTTCCTGCAAATTTGAGATCGTCAAAAATTTGAAAATGTTCCAGAGGCATTTATCTCATTAATAACTGATTATAAGAAAAAACATCAATATACCTTTTTCATAGAGAATTAAATTTTCGACAAAAAATATTTTCTGACATTTTCCCCTAAAACCCCCCTCATTAAGATAATTACCTTCAACAAGACATAAAAAATAGAATTATGACGTTTTCCTCTTCATTACTGAAATACTCAATTCATAACAATCAACATGGCCTAGCATATCATTCCAAGTCTCCGCGAGAGTCGAACCGGTTTTTCTCATCAACAGAAATCGATACAGACATCCAATAGGTCATCACTGCCTTCAGTATTGAATTTTCCTACAATCGCCGATAGCTCCATCGCGGCCGTGCGCCACCAAGGCCGCGATGTTGTCATTTCCACCTGAATCCACCTATGAAACTATCCCATTGTGTCCCTTAGACTCGAAATTAAACGCGCCTGGAGCTTTCCTAGTCATGTACACCAAATTAATCATAGCTCAATGCCAATTATGAGAGTCTTGCGGTTGTACTCCTAATCACTCTCACTTTGAACCCGACAATATCCATAAATGAGGTAATTACATGCCTCAATTTCTCGGCTGAATGCACTTTCAAAACCCCGTAGTTGACGAGAATTTCAATCATCTGGGGAATTTCATCCACAGAAAACTGTCCTTTGTACATTGAAATACGCAATTATCAGTGCTGTTGTGTGTCATCGTGTTATCGGGGATCGGAAGTGTTCGACATCGTTATAAAACCCTCTAAACAATTGTTTTTCATTGTGGAATATTAAATATTAGAATATATTCAGAGTAGAAATAAATTTTTCTCGGGAAAATTCCATTTAAAAAATGAAAAAATTACCTCTTTTGCCCCACAATTCTCCGAGCCGTTAGAAAAGACAATGTTTTTTCTCATAAAATATTGAATACTAGAAAATATTTAAATTACAAATCTTTTTGAAATCTAAAAAAAAGAAATTAACGGGATCAAAATAAATTGATGCAATGGAATGAAGAGCGGTGATTAGACGACGATAATTGAGTTTCAATTATTAAATCATTTAAATAACACTACGGGAGAATTTCTCAAAGATAAAATTCCCCTTTCCGGCAAATCTAATTTTAACGTTAATTCCCTATTCGTCCCTCAAATGAAAAAAATCATCATTTTTCCATCTGCTCCCCAAAATTCCCGGAGCAAAGCGCCTCGTCTAAATGCAAATCCGTCGCGTCAAGAATTATTTTGAAAAATTGAGAAACATTTTTCACACGACCAGTTACAACACTTCAGAATAATCTTGACACGCACTGAATAATGCAAAATACACATTCTGTCATTGAGCATAACCGATGGAACATTGAACCCCGCATACGGCGAATACAATATTCCCCGTCAGCTGTGGCCCGGTGGCACCTAAACATCGGCCCCAATTTGTGTGTCAGTGGGTAATGGGTAATATTCATGAGCCGAACGTAAAAATGCATCGGTACCTGGAAATTTATGCCCCGCTCCAATTATCCCCCCCGTGCCCTCTTATCGCGGATAGTCGAGCGAACGGTGGTAGCATTTCGCGAATTTATCAATGACCGTTAATCAGCGCAATGGGATATTAATTGGGTAATTAATTCTTCGATAAAATCGAGTCAGCTGCTGTTATGAATTACGCGCAATCTTATCAGGATGAGTGTCATATGGAGAAAATTAACCTACTTGCGTGGATGGCAGGCGTTGTCTCTCATTTCGTATTTATTTACTCAGGTAAATTTTATTTTTAAATGGAACGTTTATCGCGTGTGTAATCACTGGGTATTCATTGATCTTGAATGATTGAAATTGTTGGAATTATTTAATTTATGCACATGCCACTGATGAATTTCAAACCGTCATTGTCTCACGAGTACGATTGATTGATTGGTTGATTGATTAAAAATACATCATGTTTTTAAAGTAAAAAATACTCGTGACGTTTTGATACGTCATTACGACTCAAGTGAGAGTGCACACGGCGGTGAACGGTGAGCGACTGTTTACTACGTAGCCAGTGAAACGTTTTGGTCCGTCCCAACGCACATGGGTGAAGAAATAAAGATACGTCGGGTGTATGAACCGGCTATTGATAAGAGTTGACACGCGGGTGCGACTATGTAGACGCGTATTACGGGCTTGTCAGTGTGGAGGAGTAATGATTCAGTAAATCACGGCCGATGGAGTGGTAATTAGATGGGGGTAACTGAGTTAGAGTTATTAGATCACTTTAATAATGTCACGGGAGAATTTTTTTGTGTTAAAATTCCACTTTTTTGTAAATTAAATTTTAACGGTTGTTCATTCTTTTTTGATTGGGTTTGAATGGAGCTTATTGTAGGGTATGTGATTGGATGTTTTGAGGTTTTTAATAAGAAATTTTGTGAGAACCCTTTTCGGAGACCTGTTAATTATTTATTCAATGATTTTAGCCATTTTTGAAAATAAAATTGATATTATTTAAAGAGAGTTTGTAAAAATTGCCGACGGAAATTGTGGAATGTAAGAAAATGGGTAATTAATCAGATCGAAATAAATTGATAAGGAGAAATAACGAGTGGTGATTAGATGGGGATAATTAAGTTGGAGTTATTAGATCATCTTAATAATGACACAGAAGAATTTTCTAATGTTAAAATTTCACTTTTTGGTAGATTAAAATAGAATGTTTATTCATTCTGATTTGATTGATTTTAAGTGGATTTTAAATCTTCGTAATTTGTCAAAATGTAAACGATTGTAAATCGTTTTAAATTATTGTTGTCTATTGAGGTTTTTAATAAATAAATTTGTGAGAAATTTGTAGGAGGTCAATTCATTATTAGAATTTATAAAAATTTCCAACGGACATCGTGGAACTTATAAATTGACAATCAATTAGATCGAAGTAAATTGATAAAATGAAATAAAGAGTAGTGATTAGATAGGGATAAGTGAGTTAGAACTATCAAATGGCTTCAATAATGTCCAGAGAATTTTTTAATGTTCAAATTTCACTGTTTGGTAAATGGAATTTTAATGATTATTCATTCCTTTTTGATTGATTTTTAATGGAATGCAAACTCTGGTATGTGTTTCGATGATTAAAACGATTATAAGACGTTTCAAATTATTCATTATTGACGTTTCTTCATCATGCGAGGTTTATTAATTACTTATTCAATATTTCCATTTATTTTAAAGAATTAAGTCGATATTATTGATCCAAAATCCATAAAAATTCCCAATGGAAATCGTGGAACTTGGAAAAAAATTTTCAATCGATTAGATCGAAATTAGTCAACACAATCAAATAAACATTAGTCATTAAATGGAGATAACTGAGTTGAAATTACTAGATCATTTTAATAAATTCACAGGAGAATTTTTTAACGTTACAATTTCACTTTTTGATAAATTGTATTTTAATATATAATGATTCTGATTTGATTGATTTGGAATGAATTTCAAACTACGGTATGTGATTGAATATTCCAAATAATTGTAAGTCGTTTGAAATTATTATTGTAAATTGTGGTTGTTAATAAAAAAATTTGCGATCAGAATAAATTATACCTCATATAATATTACATCTCGCATTTCCACTAAAAATTAATTCATCATCCGCCCAAAAAACATCAAAATGTAGTTCATAACAACCGAGGCCCTAAAGGTAATCAAAACAAAAGCGGGAAATGAAATCACTAATAAAAAAATCGTATAAAAATCCGCATTAAACCGTCAAAAACCGGCCGACCACCAAATTTCGGCCGCTCCTACACTAAACATCGACAACTTCCAAATCACCGAGCAAACATTCCACGTGTACTTATCACTTTCCGAGTTCATAAAAAAATTCCTCACTAAATTCCTCATTTTTCACACGTGCCTCATAGACATTTCTGAACCTCTCGAGTGATAATTAATCTGTCCCTCTGAGAACTTGCGCAACCTTCGACGGAAGGTGTATAATTACGGATTGATTGCAACACATGTGAAACCGTCAACAAGAGGATGTGAAAAGCAAAAACAATATGAAAATACTGAATATCCCGACGCATTGCTATCGATGCATATTAAAATTGAGTGATTCACACCCGCGGAGATAAAATTTTTCTGCTGAGATTGCAATTCGAGGGGCCGTGGATAGACATTCCAATGGTCTCCCACCTGAAATGGATCAGCACCTTGAGGAGTATGCGCTGGCAACTGTACGAAACCGGCGCTAGCTGGTTGATACCAGATTGGATTACCTTTAATTACATGATAAGATGTCTACCGAGCCGTTAAGAAGGAAATGAAAAGGTGAATTTGTGGAAATAAATAATCCTCATCCCTGGAAATTGGAGAGATCAGAATTTTTTATCATCGTTAAATACAATTACGATTAAAAAAATCAATGTTTACTGGTTATTCACCTTGATCTCCGGCGTTACGACAGTCGGAATAGATATCATATCACTTCTAATCGGAGAAACAGGAATAGTTTCACGGGTATCGATCCCCTTCCGGGAATAAAAAATTCTGACATGAGACATTCAACCGAAAAATATAATGAAAAATGGACGGAGGTAGACGAGAGCGCGATCACTTTTTAAATCCTCAAATCATCCCACTTTATTCGTATTCATAAGATTGATTGCTCGCACTGAAGGTCGCGAACCTTCACTCGATGAAAAAAATTGAAAAACAAAATTATTTTCTGGAGGGCCCAGTGCCCCGTGAGGATGTCGACGTTACCGGTGGAAATGGGAGACAGATTCCCTGGCAATAAGAGGCGTATGTCGTGGATCATTGCGGCTTATCGCGAAGTACTGTAAGACTATTGTAACTGATTAGCGGAATCACTTTGCTATTTCTCAAGGACTTTACAAGTGTTAATCGACGTCTCGTGACATTTTGTATTTGTGTAGAACATTCATTGAGGACATGAATTTATGTTTCGTTTTTTTAATGTTTACAATTAATTAAATGATTGATTAATTAATTAATTAATTAATTAATTTGTTCATTTATTCATTTAGTTATTTATTTATTCATTTATTCATTGTATTTGTTATCGATCCGTCTTACAAAAATTTCTAAAACACTTAATTGTAAATAAATTAATTAATTGGATTTTTAGAATCAAATTTTAATCACCCAAGACGATAAATCCCACATATGGAGCAACACAGGAGTAGAACGAAGCCAGGGAAACAACATAAGCCGACTCGGGGTTGACCCTGATGGGTTAAACAACTTGTGACGAGAGCTCCGCGGGGGTTTTCAAAAATCAATGGCGAATGACTTAATTCATTCCAACACTGCAAACTTCTCCCCAAACCCAGCTGGATTATTCATACTCACTCTTTGCTCGACTGGCTCGTTGAAGAAGTTCCCCCGAGCCAGTAGTGGCCACCCCTGTCACCTCGTAAATTCCCTCAGACCAGAGCTAACAAGATCCCTCTCATGTCTTGACCTCGAAATATTCCCCGGGGAAAATCTTGTATTCACACGGACCTTGTCATTCTTGTGGGGTTCCAACCACTCTAGAAATGAATGAACGACATTTCGTGATGTATTTTTGACAGGGAAAATTCTTAAATTCGTAATTTAGTTCTCAGATTAGAATTATCTTATTTTTAATTGTAATTACATGTTACATTTCATGATTTTTTTCCCCGTAAATTGAACTTTATGTCACGCGCAGAAAAATAAATAGTTTATGCCAATCAAAGCAATAAATTTAATTTTAATAAAATAAATCGTTTATTTGATTCAAATAACGTTTATTTAATTTAAAATAAATCATTTTTCTGGGTGCACTCTTCTGAAAATTACTAGTCCTTTGTCCACGAAATATCATTTTTTTCCTAATAATAAAGTCTACAAACAAAAAATTGTTCAGTTCTGGATGAAAAAAAAAAAAAAAAAAAATTCAAGATTTTTTTTTTTTTTTTATTACATGGAAGTATCACCAGTGACAAAGGATGAGTCGAAGTGTGTAATCACTCGAAGCAGGTGTGGGACATGCACCTTACGTCACTATTTCTTTTATGAAACTAACATTATACAGCATAAAACGAGCGATGAAATTAGACGAGCCGAAGACTTTGATAACGCACCGCTCATACGCTAACAATCCACGACATTAAGATTACGAACAGTTGTGTAAATAATCGTCCTACGATATGAGGAGTGTCTCTCGACGTTAAGAGAAACGGAGGGGAATCAAATCGCTTTGCGTGTTGGAAATTGTCGATCACATGAGCGGCCCGAGCTAGGGAATACTCTTGCAGGATGAAAATACTTGTCATGCACATGTATTCGCACAAACTTCAATCGGTTCAATCGGAATCACAATAGTAAAGAGTAAAAAGTCTGTTATTCATAGACTCAACTCAATCGAAACCGACAATCCGCTCGTGATTTTGTCCCCGCGCGATGAAAAATGAATATTAATATCTAGCACCAACCCACACTGTCTTTTTATAGTTTTGCATTGAAGTCAAGCCACTGGAGTGGCCGTATACATAGCTTCCTATTAGAATGCTTTCATTGTCATTCGGTGCAACTGCGAAATTTCAAAATGCGCGGAATAAAATTCCGAGTTTTGATGAAAGTGGAGATGTTTTTGGTGGAAAACGAAATCGATATTTTAATAAGAATTGAATATGCATTTTGTAAATGGTGGTAATTACGCAGATGGATTGGGAGAGCTTGAATAAATAAATAAAAGTGAAGATACTTCAGAGCTATTTTCGAATGTGAAGTGTCAACAAAAATATTTCGCAGCGTTTGTTAATCAAATGAAAGAGAGTACGAATGCGAAATGAGGCGGGTGGTGAACAAAACGGCAAAGAGACTTTTCAGATGCAATAAAAATGAAGCACTCGATTTTTCGCGTAAAAAATGAAAGTGTTCATTGGAAAATCAGGATTTAATGAAAAAATAATGGGAATTGTCAATATTAGTGGAATTATTCGCAAAAAAAGAGTGATGAGGGGGAAGTTTCGAGGA